AAGAGAACCACATCCAGTTACAAATTACTGAAAGGTATTAGCGAAAAAATGAAATTGTTAAGAAATGGACTACCTGTACGAGGTATAAGTCTCGTATGGAGGGACTGTATAAGTGGTCGTCTCTGGACACCGTATTTTACTTACTGCGTTTTTGTGAGTGTAAAAATTTTTATATTAATATGATTCGTGCAACAAATTGATACCTAAAATTTTTGCCGATCTCACGAGCGAGCCGATTTGCAAAATTAAAATTACGAGCGAGTAGGGCGAGCGGAAGCAAAGAAAAATCTTAAAACGAGCGAGCCGAGCGAGCGGCGGTTTGGACGCGAGCGAGCTGAGCGAGCAGCAAGTTTCAAAATGCTTAAACGAGTGAGCCGAGCAGCACTTTTGCTGCTCGTGCAGGGCTCTAATACAAAGTAACTAATTGTTTGCACTTAACATTAATCGCGTTACGTGCGGGTGCGTATCCATTTTGAAGACTGACCTTTCTTTAAACGCTTGGTGCTTGCCTTCAGAGAGAATTTATTACCATGCAGATCGTACATTATTTGATCTTGCTTTGTACGGGCATCCTGAGCTGCAATGGAGATCCTGACAATCCCGATTTCCCGTCCACCCTTCTGGACATTTTTGCTGAAGCCGAGGCCTCACTCGCTTCCGATCCCGCCTCTGCTGACTGTCTGAACGGACTCGTGGCGAACATTACTGCAGAGCATACCAACTGGACCGAGCCGATGCGGACATACAGTGCATACCAGACGCTCATTCACCGACTGGCCGACGCACAGGAAGGCAAATGCCGTGAATTCCTCAAGCAGTTTGAAACCGGCTTCAATCTAGAGATTCAGCTCATGGCCTACAACACCAGCCTCCTGCGCCGAACAAAACGCAGTCTGCCGTTGGTTCCGATTGTTCTGGGTTCCCTTGCTGCTGAACTGGTCTTCGGTGGTCAGACAGCATATGCTCCTGCACCCCCACAGTATCTCTGCTGGGATGCGACACGTCGACGCTATTATAACTGCAATGGACGTCGCAAGCGCCAAGTAGTAATTCCGGGGCCGGTATATCGCTTTTGTCAGGCCTTTCCTCGTCTGTGCGCCCTCACAAGCGGAAATACCGGCGCTCGCCAAAAACGGTGGGTGACAACAGGATTGGGTGTTTGCTACGTATTCCCCATCTTATGTGGAAGAGGAGGAAGTTTTCCACATCCGGGCAGCCGCGGAAAACGGTTTGCAGGCCCGGTTGTCAGCTTTTGCGCGAGGTTTCCAACCCTGTGCGGGTTTGGGGGAAGCGTTGTCGGGAGTACGGTGGGAGGCATCGCCGTCGATGAGTATCGGCGCTGGAGGGAGCCAAAGAACCAATGGTGTTCCTACTGGAACGGACACCAGTTTGTGCACTACCAGTGCGCCTAAATACCGCAGACACGCGGGGGTCACGGTACATGTCATAGATCGCTTACTTATACTACTCTAATTGTCGCTTTTCAGCCAATTTTTTTCATTGTGTAAATTTTTCTGATTATAGCATGTTTTTATTAGGATTGCTACTCTAATGGCCTTTTCGACTATACACAATCATTTGCATGCTTTTCGTTGTTTGTGAGTGTACCGGTTGCATTGCTGTAATAACTCTTTTCATGGTTATACATAACCTTTATGCTTGTAATACGTAATTGGTGTGACCATTTTGGATGTGCATTAATTCTAACAAACTATTCTCTGTTATTCAAGTTTCAGTTTATTGCGTTATCTTCAGTAATGTGCGCCTAAATATTGTTTTAGCGGCTGTCAATATGTGTCTCTAGGGCACTCCCTGGTAATTACAAAACATTTCAATTCTTAATTTTATTACCAGGACATAGCTGGTTAGATATCATGGAAACGCATACATGATAAAGAAACTATAATTATGAGCTGTCATATACTGATAGTTCGTAACATCATAGCCATAACTAAGGCTTTATACCATAAAACATGAGCACCAGTTGACGTAATTTCATTCACGGAAGCCAACGAAACGTGTTCTCAATTTTAAACCTTCGAACAACCACAGAAACCGCGAATGTTGCGAAAATGTAAAATTGATGTTAAAATCAACAAAAAATTTCCAGATGTGACAGCCTTACAAGTGTAGCGTCTCTGCGCTTGTAGTAAAAGGTGTGACGAGCAAAACACAGCTTTAACTATTCTGTACTTCAGGAAATGTATCCGCAGGATGCGCAAAAAATTGTTACATGAAAATTGGGAAAGTGTATGTACAAATATGTAAAATTATGTAGAAATATGAATGTAGAAATAAGTTCTAATATTCGCCAAAATTCCAATAAAGGTTAAAGATCAAGACATAACAAAGGTCATCTGTGCTCAGCGTTTACGAAAACAAATAATAAGGGTTATCTCTCATTGGGAGGACTGCCGTTGCGCGTGCACATGATGCAGTTTAGCATCATTATGTGACGATAGTTCCCATAAAACGAGGTCAGCAAAACTATTGGCGGCAGCGTGTGCTGTTATCGTTGGTTTATCACTTATTTTCAAATATTATGTGCATCAGACACACAAACCGCGTAAAATGCTTACCGTCGTGCGAAAAGTTGTCGATCAGCGTAGTTCTGGACGGCTGATTTCTTTCAGTTGAAACTAGGTAAAAGTAAACAGCAACGTTTGATATCTATAGCCCACCATTATCCATCTAAATAAACGTTTTCTCAAATCCAGTATCTAGATTCTATAATCATGTGCCATAAATGTCGTCGGCAGGCATTTTGAAGTCCACTTAATGATCTGCAGGCCGATGCCATAGATTGATCTCACGACGCTCGGGCATCCTGTTCAACTTACGTTGGTGTTCGATCAAACGGGACGATTTTTCCTCAGGTAAACTTCGTAAGAGAATATAAGCCGGTGCATGAGAATACTTCGCTATTCGACGTTTCTGCCTGTCCATGATCCAAATCTTTCCACTTTTAACGCTTAAGAGAATACACGTACGGCAGCTACGTATTGTTGCCTTGTTTTTTATAACTAAAGTTTTGCCTAACCGTCAACTGCTAAGCTTTTGCCTTCAAACCAAAACTGCTATACCATGCAAACTGTATCTGAATTACTGTTTCTGCTTGGGGGCATTGTCCTTCGCTGCAGTGCGGATTCTAATAATTCTGATTTCTCACCATCGCTTGTGGACTTCGCTGCTAAAGCTGACGCTATATTCCTTTCCGATCCTGACTATGCCAGTTGTCTGCAAGCGTTCCTGGGAAAGGCCAGCGTGAAGAATATCAACTGGACCGAGGTGCAGCCGACACACAATGCGTTCCAGGACAAATGTCGGGAATTCCTCGAACAGTTTGGAACAGGCTTCAATCTGGAGATGCAGTTCAAAACTCCCAGCCTTCGACACCCAGCAAACCGCTATATAGCGATGCCGGACCATTTTCCTCCAAGAGCGAAGCATTATCTCTGCTGGGATGCGTCCCGTCGACGCATTTACAACTGCAATGGACGTCGCAAACGTGACCTGATACTGGGACCGGCAGATCACTTTTGTCTGGCTTATCCTAATCTGTGCTCTCTCACCGGTCGCCACAAGAGGATGGTCATCCCTTCCGGGCCATTACCTAATATCTGCACTTGGCTTCCCCGCTTATGCACACGTCAGGGAGGTCGTGGAAAACGTTTTGTGGGTCTGTGCGCCCGATATCCTACTCTGTGCGGCATAACGGGACGGACCTTCCCGAGTCCCAGCTTTTGTACCTACAGAAATGGATGGTATCAATGCGCCGCCTAAACACTAGAGCTGCACGCAACACGCTATGGCACACAGAACTACATAGTACGTGACCGTAGTAACAGTTATAATCATGCACTACTTTTTGTCGCTTGGATGAGTACTGTTCCGGTTAGTGTATCACGTTTTGTTTTTATACGTATTACGAAGCTTTTATTTCTCTGCTTACATCTGCCCGTTCAAATGCGCGAACCTACCTACATTAATAACTCAATCATCTGCATGATTGTTTTTGCTTTTCGATGCACTGTTGCAAATATTCTGTTATTTGTAATAATTACAGTTATGTCATGGCGCTTACTTTATTGTTCTCCTTACCTGAATATGTTCCGGCTTCTCGGTTGTGTTAAATTTACTTGTCTTTTCTCGGCTTCTGTTATTCTCAGTCCTAACTTGTTTCAAGATGATGGGATAACATTATTAACAAATATTTCTTCCTCGTACTGATATTGCATCTCTGGCCGTTTCCGTAACAGGAAGAAGTTGCATGCATATAATAAACGCATCTAACACTACCCGGGATATGTAGTGTGTATTTGATTTCCATAATAATTATTCTCAACACTAAGCAGAATCATGATCATGATTATATCATGGTTACTAAGCAGAATCATGAAACAAAAAACGACTGTTATAACTGTTACCAGAAATATCATCAAAAAACATATTTTCAACGCTAAAAAAAACTTCCACAACCATATTACCGCGGTCCACGAAGAACACGAGCATGGAATTCAGCGGAAGCATGTAAATTTGGTGGATACACCAACACATCACGTTTATACTCGTACATTATGCACATTACAGTGAAGTACTGTATTTCCAGCCTCTTGGTTGGGTCATTCCAGCCAGCTACAGTCTGTACAGTCATATCCTGTACTTGTACTCATACGAGTACGACAGGGTACGCAGTTGTTTACGCTGCGGCTTCGATTGCTGTACTGCAGTAGCTACAACTTACAGCCACCTTCTGACTGATTTACAATCCGATAAGTAAGTGTAACCTAAACTTCCATTTCAATAAATTTACTTTATGCGAGCCATGTTACAGAAGTTACAGCTGCTATTTGCTAAAATTACAGCAGCTCACCGCTTTTGCAAGGATCGAAAGATTGGTAGATTACATTAGCAAGCATGATATTCATCAGCTGCACCGTGTACTAGAGCATAATATGTACAGAGTTATACACTATGAATGTGATGCACATGTTTCAAAGCATTTCTTCGATTTAGTTCGATTTGAAACCTATGCTGCCGGTTTGGGTGTTCCCTTTACAGCCTAACACATCTTATTGACAGTTAGTCAACTTCATAAACTGTGCGCATCAAACAGTTGTAGATTACGATTCTACTTCTGAAAACAAACCGCATTTGTCTAGTAGAAATACCGATTTTCCAACTGCAAACTGCTCCTAGAATGTTTCTCTCCTTTATTATTTGTCTAGTAAGCGCACAGGCACTTCCTAAATGACAGTAAACCAGTAACAATATTATTTGTTTCAAAACAACCTAAAGTCGAAAACATTAACTAACTGGCACTGCTTTTAACAGGCGATCCACTTGACCGCCGCCCGCCGAGCGACATACACTGCCACCACGGAGAAAAGCTCTTTCCGACTCGCCAATTCTGACAGCACATTCCGCATTTCCGATCCGGACCAGCTCAGCGGCCCTGCCACCCTTAAACAAGGGGATGTACAACTGTTTCCCGAATGGGACGCGGAGAACCACACCCTCGGCTCCATTCAGCACCGCACCTGCCGCATCAAATCCTTGTGCTTGCTGTCCTGCCCATCGGAAGACCACCCAAAAATCTGGGTTTTGGAGGGCAGTTACCAGCATATGTCGGTCAACGAGGATGATGCGGTCCGTTGTGAAGTGGCTCGCAGTGTCCGGGGTTGCCCGTTCACCCTCATGACGGCACATTTATGCTCGGGCGCGACGGAATCCTGCAGTGTGCACATTAAAACCCCGGATGAAGCCGACGACTGCGGAGCGACGCATTATAGCATAGGATACCAGTGCTTGCCGGCTGAACATCCCCTGAAGCCGTACGCGAAGGCTCCAAAGAACCGGGACGATCGCTGTTATCAGTATTACAGCCGAAAGTATGCCTAGCGTAATACTCAACCCGGTTTCTCCATATTATCGGGTCAAAAATATTGGCACACTGTAATCAATATGTGCGATACTGGAACAGCGCATGTAAATACTCGTACATAATCCGACAGTTTGATGCTTATTTGCTTTTGCCTGACCTTCAAGGCGCTTTGATCATTTTTTAGTTAGCAGCCTCGGTATGCAAATACTAACGTCGAAAGCGCCCTGATTAACGAAAACATACCACGGTATATACTTATACACTAGAACGCGGATGTTGTCGTGTAACTGAAAATCCGGTATTATTTTCCTGACGTTCTTTATTATAATCGATACACGATAAGTAAACGATAAAAGCAGTCTCGCATAATGAGTTTACCTTGACACCTAAAAACCAACAAATCTTCCTTTCTAGTAGCATAATAATTTTAATATTGTTATTTTAATGTTCTACGTCTCCTATGCGACCACACAACGCCAAGTGGGGAGAACTGAAGATGCTGCTGATCGGAAGCGCAAGCAAGGTGCGTGAATGCGAATGCGTTGGCCACCTCTGGTCGCTCCAGCCGCACAGGCAACCCCTTTATTTTGATTCGGTAGGAGCAAAATAACGAAACGAAAAACAAACAGGTGCGCGGTGGGCGGGAAAACAAAATTCTCGACGTGCTGATCGAGAAGTGAACGAGTGCGAAATGAGAACTCGTAAGGCTATACCAGCGAGCGAGCAAAATGAAAACTCGTGTTGGCAAGCGAGCGTGTGCAGTGTGAACTGTGCGCGGAAAGCGGCTAAACAGAGACAACACACAAAGCGGCCGGCGCCGGTCCACATCAAAGCGCGCGAATGGTGGTCCGGCTCTGCCGATGCGGCGTTAAGAAGGGAAGCGCCGTCGACGTAACATTAACTTAAATTAACGTTGTTAATTAGCTGTAAATTTAAAAAACTTGTTCATCGTAGAGTTATAATATCGGGACTTGCGAATATTAGTAAATCGTCCACAATACGTACAACTACGTTAGTAACTTAGTACGATATGATTATGCAAAAGTGTCGAACTTCCATTTTAATAAACACGATAATGCACCGTACGGTAAAATGCGAGCAAAAGATATATTGATGAATCAGCAAAACAACAATTCACTTTTTGTCGCCAGTTTGTGAAATGTTTAAGGTGCGGCATCAGCATAGCCTGTATGCTTGCTAAGTTGTCTGTAATACTGGTAAGGTTCCGATAATTAAGTTAATAATTCAGACAGCTTCGCGCGTAATTATTTCCTCGGGCGTAAAGACATTCCACAAAAAAGCGTACAAAAGTATATAACTGACACTAAGCAAACGTGACTTATGTAAGGAGGCAAAACATTAATTCCTGGATTTTGCTGTACAGTAACAAATCTATTGTAATAAGCATGGTCAGCCACAACTATGGATGCACGGCGAAAGCGTTGGCTTGCGTATTTTTGTACAGGTATGTATGTATGCGAAACAACGTTTAAACCCTGAAAAACACGGATGATGGCCTGCATATTCACATTGCATAATTTCCTGCAGATTACAATCCTTGGCACTCACGCAATACTCGAGCCAGCTAAGAATGTGCACCGGGATCTAGATCTGGCCTTTGAAATGCGCAACGCCACCGCGGAAGACGGGACAGGGACAGTTCGTTTCATCGAAAATCCCTGGCTTTCTTCTTGGCTTATCGGCGAAAATATCACTTTCGGCTGCCTTTTCCCCGAGTACCCCATCCTTCGTATCCTGGGCGGGCAGTATACTAATGAAACCGTCATTGCTTCGGTGAATGTGACATGTGAGGGCGGCTACCATGTACGCGGCTGTCCGTATACGTTGAGGATCGCGCATCAATGCTCGGGCGCCTCCTGGAACTGTACCGTGGATATTGAGCAGCCGGATGAGATGCAGCGTTGTCCGGTAACGCATTACCAGGTTCGATATCAGTGCCTGCCCAAGATGACACCGGAAGATCCGCTCAGATCGTACGCAGTGCTGCCGCCAGGAACAGATCCAAATGATCCGTGTGCCGAGTTATACGTGCCGAGTCAATAGAAAATGGCCCTTTGGGGCATTTTAAATTGCTTCTAATATGCAATCTTGGCAGCAGTGAACGACCGGCATTCTTAGATAATTGCTCGATCACTTCAGCTACATCATTCTTTTGCCATTTTGATTACATTAGCATTACAGACGACAGAAATGATTGGTTGCTTTTTAGCATTTTATTTGACTGAACGCGAAAAGTTTGACGGACTTCTTAATTCGTGATTCTCACCACTGTGTGCAGGTATAGCGTCTTTTTTCCTTTGAATGATGCCAAACATTAACTTTCACGGATACGTTTGTGTTTAAGGTCACCGGTTAGACCTCCTAGCGCGATTAATTAATCCATTACGGTGAGGATCGAATTTTTTGCGCATCAACCACAGACATAGATCACTGAAAATTTCATTGTCAAGATCGTCGAGTCTCATGCGTTTCAATCTGTAATGCAGCGTCCGTATCATTTGTTTCAAACATCGTCATTATACCAAATCAAGGTCTTAGCATTTTTTTCAAATTTTGTCATGAATTCCGAAAACTTCTGTACATATAAGTTTTAAGATGGGAAGGCTCCGCACACCACGTATAACCATCAAAGTCTCCGCAAACCACCGTTCACCACCACCAAGCCCTGTACACCACTTTTATTATTTTTTTAATGTTTTACAAAAACCACCGAAATCTCCTAACACCACCAATGGCAGAGTGCACATCACCAAGTCTCTGGACATCACTGTTTTTAAAAAAATTAGTTATTTCTTATTACAGACGGAAAAAAGACAGCTTTTTCGTCTCGCGGTATGGCTCCTCTTTTTTCATACCATTCAGGGGCCTCCGCTTCAGTTATGGTTAGGGAGTTTTCGGTTTTACTCGCTCGGCCGCCCGGCCAGGACGGTATTAGAGCTTTTTGCACACGCTTAGCTTCCAAAGTCCATCAAAGCATACACCTGCAGCAGCGTCAGCACATATGGAAAAGGTCACCAATGATGTTATGACCCACCCTCTCAAAGTTTTTCCAGAAAATTCTTCTGAGGGTCAATTCCATTGAGCAACTCGTGCGCAAACGCGAAATCTTAGAGGGCACAGTCGATTTCGTTTCCTTCGCTTTTGACAGCTGGTCTAAATAACCAACCGTTATCCGCTTTTCCGGCATGGACGTCCCATAAAGCAGCCATATTTGTTTTTTTTTAATTTTCAAATGAAGCTCCACCGGCGAACTGTCATATGCCCACACTTCTTTAACCTCGCGATACCAGCATGTGGTCAGGAAGGGGTTCACGTAGTTAAAGTAGGCACACAAAATTTCTCCCGCAAAGTTTCTCCAGATCTAAACCTCGGAACTTTTGCCGGAAAATTCCGTATGCCCCTATCAGCCCAGAAACAAAGGTCATATTAGTCGTATATAACCACCCACTGTATGTTCTCGAAACCACGAGTATACCGTAATTATCGAATTTGTGTCCCTGGGGTGCAAATAGTTTGAAGGTCATGGCGGAGGGGGGCTTATTTCGGGGAGGGGGCGCAATTTCGGGGGGTGGCATTATTTTTCAAACGGCACATTTTGGAGAGGGGCATTATATTTCAAACAACTGCGAATGTTGTTCTAGTGGAATTGAACGCAATAGTTACCGGTACTCCGGTAGTATATTCCTAGTTTTCTACATATGCAACTGTTCGCCAACAAATACCACATTATGTTGATGTCCGTTTACTGTTTACCCATCGAATCATAACAATTATTAGGAAGAAATTTGTGGTATACCTATCATTTTGCAGCGCTTGACATTTAATAACGGCCCCCTGGGGCGTAATTTCGGGGGGTGGCATTATTTTTCAAACGGGATCGGGGAGGGGTCTTATTTCAGGGGAGCTCTTATTGCGGGGGGAGCCACAAATTCGATAATTACGGTAAGTAGTGTCGTGAGACTGCCGATAATTTTCTGTACATAGTGTTGTCGCAAAAATGGTGGCTCAAAACGAAACGTGATGCGAACAGTGGTGCGCGGAGCCTGATCCCTGGTGGTAGTAACAGGCGGTGTGTGGAGACTTCGGCGGTTAAATGTGGCTCCTAAAATTTGGAAAATGGGCGACTCTGGTCAGGATCTGGTTGTGTGTAAAAGTGATCTTGATACTGATGCGTATTTACAGGCAAAATCTGAAGCAAATCGGTTTACAGTATAATCAAACTGCTGATACACCACAATGCATTTGATATTTTTAAAATTTTGTTTCACTCATAATCTCCCAAGCAAATGTTGCTCGCACAAACGGATTTCACACAAGCGTAGAGAAATCACTTGGCTGCAGAATGTACAGTAATAAAAACAGTATCTTGGAGTGCGCAAAAGCGAAAGTTCAAATCCATGTGCCGGATTTTGGTATTAAGTATCCAGGCCACTACTTTAAGTACTACGAGTAAGTGTCAGTATAAGGTCAGTATAAGTACTACGTGTCAGTATAATCATGGATAAAAGGCCAAACTAAGGGTAAAATATATTAACAAGCACGAAGATAAATCATTCATTCCTACTGTAAAATGCAACGAGAGGACTGCCATGAATCAGCAAATCATAATTCACGCTGTGGGGCTATGCAATTTGCGAAATGTAGAAGGTGCGGCATCAGCCTAGCCGGTACGTTTGTCAAATTGTTTGTAATACTGGTTGGGTTCCAATAACTAACGAAATATTCATACAGCTTCACGCGTAATTATTTCCTCGAGCAAAAGACATTCCGCGAAACACTGTAGAGTGTATATAACAATCAGTAAAGAAACGTAATTTAGATAATAAAGCATAGACTAATATATTTGTTAATTCAGCCACAATAACTTGGTATTGCACTGGACCGGAAAAGGTTACCGTGGTAAAAATGTTTTATCGATATTATGGATGCACGGCGAAAGCACTGGCATGCGTACTTTTTGCACAGGTTTGATAAAAAACGATGTCAGTTCAAATACATAATTATAATTATAAGGAATATGTTATTACGGCGGTTTGCATATCCACAGTGTATTGACGTACTGCTGCTTACGGCGGCTGGAGCAAACGCGATAACCGCGCCAGCTGAGGAAGCAGCTAAGAATGTGCACCGGGATATTGATCTGGCCTTTGAAATGCGCAACGCCACCGCGGATGACGGGAGCGTTCGTTTCATCGAAACACCCTGGTTATCTTCTTGGATTATTGGTTCCCCGTTGACGATTGACTGTCCTTTTCCCGAGTATCCCATTCTCCGCATCCTGGGCGGGCAGTATGCCAATGTCACCGCTAATGCCACGCAGATTGTGACGTGCGAGGGCGGCTACCATGTGCGCGGATGTCCTTACACGCTGAGGATCGCGCACCAGTGTTCGGGTGTCTCCGGGAACTGTTCCGTGTCCATTGAACAGCCGGATGAAATGCAACGCTGTCCGGTTGCGCATTACCAGATTCGCTACCAGTGCCTGCCCAAGATGACGTCGGACGATCCGCTCAGATCGTATGCCACGCTCCCGCCGGGGGTCGACGCCAGCGATCCATGCGCTGCGTTGTACGTGCCGAGTCAGTAAAACGGTTTCGCGTTGCGCTGATAATTTTATCGTCTACGTAACGGCTTGATTCATCGCGTCACAACGTGGCGTGAAGTCAAAATAATGAGCTTTAAAATGTACGCCTAAAAAAGCTTGGCGGTTGGCATTGTTTACAGGAAAAGATACGGTGTACTTGTGTGCACGGATGAGCATCACAGATTAAGCAGTCAGCCAGTTATCTTGAGGTTTATTGAAATAAAATGCCAAAAAAGCAACCAATCGGTTTTGACATTATGTTAGCTGTAATCAAAATGGTTAAGGAAGATGCGACCTGCGAAAACAGTATGCCTTGACTTGACACTTTAGAGATTAATAGGATCGAGCATTAATTAATAATGCCGGTCGTTCACCGCAGTTATTAGAAGCAGTAACAAATGCCCCAAAGCAGTAAACACTAACAAAGAGATCTCAGAAGATTTTCATTTTCAAGATCGGCGAGTTTAACGTGGTTAACCAGTAATGTAACATCAAAGCAGCGGTTCTCTCGACATGATTACACGCAGGTACCACACTGCAACGATGCACTCGTGGAAATTCTGCTTAGTCCATAAGAGAGATGCCAATCGGTAAATAGAGGTTTAATTCCGCATCCGTACCGTTCCGAGTACTAAGCGGCGCTGTATGTAGCTTGCACGAAAACAACTGCAGTTAACTTGTCACACTGCAACGGTTGTAAAATCATGCGAAAACGCGGTAGTGAGCAGCTACTGTCAGGGTATCTGTTATTGGTGAGTTCAGCTGTTATTTGACAGAACGCAACTCTCTGGTTTTATTATGGTGTCGTTACGGCGACAACACTGAGCGGCGGCGGTCCATTCCATAAAGACATCGATCTGCAGCCGGAACTGAGCAACCGGACATCCAAACACGGGCGACCGCTTCCCCTGGGATTCACCGCGCAGTCCACATGGCTTCTGGGCACTTCCGGCACAATTGACAGTATCGATGCGGAGTACCCCATTATCTGGTTTCTAAGTGGTGGTTTTATCAGCATGCAAGGAATCCACATGCAAAATGTAACCTGTGTGGGTGGATTCCATGTACCAGGCTGCCCGAACTCACTGCGCATCGCCCACGATTGTTCGGGTGCCAGCGGCCAGTGCCGACTGGATCTGGAGAGACCGGATGAGGTAAGTCGTGGCCCAGTGACACATTACCGCTTCCGGTATCAGTGTTTACCGAAGAATCCGCTGAAGCCCTTCGCCATACCTCCGCCGAATATCGACTCGCGTGATCCCTGTTTAGCTTTATACGTTAGCAAGCAAGTATGCCAAAGGTGGTCGCCGCTAGCCCGTAGCCTCGTGTATTGATGTTAAGAATGTGGCTTCTGTGTTGCTGCTTAAAAGTTACAGTACAGTATAATGCATCGCATCTATTGCAGCTAAAATTCATTGAAATTCAAACCAACTCAGACAAATCAAGCAATAAATATTTAGAGTTAGCGAATATTCGCGGTTGCAAAACAGTGAATTCGTTGTTCAGGTCAAGCTGCAGCGGAACAGCAAGGTCAGTGGCAGCTGCCAAGGTCAGCATTTGTTCGCTATTTACTAATAAAATGAGACGCACGGCAATTTTTCTGCTTGAGAGACAGCCGGTGACCGCAGGATGTTTGCAACTAAAGCCACTTTATAATTAATGATCAAGCTGTGGAATTATAGCGAACGCTGACGATAAATCAGCAAAATTACAACCGGACAACTTATGTTATGGCACTGGTTGGCTAAGTAGATTTTGTAGGTACGCCAGTACTTATTAAGGGATTTGGCCCGGTACATAGCACCAAATTCGTGTACATCCACGGGAACCTTCGCTGTCGCGCACTCCCAAATACTTTTTTGCATTGCTTATGAGATTTTGTAGCCAGAAGAATTGTACGTAGTTGTGAAATCCGTTTGCGCGCTTCGGTTGCGGAATTATGAGGGCAAAATTCCAAAGTTTTGTTCAGTGTACCAAAAGTCTCATTATGGACCGATCTCCTCAACACGTAATGCATATATGAAGATTGTTTTGGTACGGAACCAGACTTCTAGGATTTTTTTTAAATTTTAAAATGAATTTTAAAATTTTTGAAATTCATTTTAAAATTCGAAAAAAATTGTAGAAGTCTGCATCCGTACCAAAACAATCTTCATGGTTATGTGCATTTACGTGCAAAATTTGAAAGGGATCGGTGCATAATGAGACTTTTGGTACACCTGAATGCATTTAAACTTTTTGGAATTTTGTTGCCCTCATAACTCCGCTACCGCATGTTGCGCGCGCAAACGGATTTCACAACTACATATACAATTCTTCTGGCTACAAAATCTCATAAAGCAATGCAAAAAAGTGTTTGGGAGTGCGCGACAGCGAAAGTTCCCGCCAATGTACACGAATTCAGTGCTATGTCCCGGGCCAAATCCCTTAAACATATGTACGTTGTGCGGTCAGACGGTCCATGTGGTAAGTGCCGCATTTATAATAAACACTGCCCTAAACTATTTCTGAGTATTTCATAACGCCTAACGATAATGCATAAACGATGTACCTGGAAAGGCCTGTAGAGCTCACATACGAGTACAAATATCTGTACATAATTTTGAACAGCAGTCGGCAGCAATAGCATGGTCTCGTTAGTAATGCTTCTCGTGTCAATGGTCCCTCGAGCAAAAGCACATTCCAGCATTCCGATAATATTATATCATCGTTGTGCGAGAAGCCGTAAATACACTGAAAACCTGGTCTAATGCAATAGAAAGAAGCCACATAAATTATCATCTTAGTATTTATGCATCCCAAAAAGGAATAAATAGTGCATTGCTGCCGTAATACCGATAAGTGTAGCGAAAGGATTCAGAACCATGGCTGGCCAGCGAAATGGGTTTGCAACTGAAACGTTGATACGTGTAATCCGTATCCCGGTAAGTAAGCAAACAGTACCGGGTAAATAACTGAAATAATTCCAACGATTTTCGTATTCCCAGTACGTACTGCTCCTGGTATTCACACTTCATGGCACTGCCGCAGTGTCCGATCAAAATTCCACTAGAGACCAAATTGACCGCCCATCCAACTCCACCAATTTCGACGCAATCGACTCGACCGCGCTCGTTATTCACCACATCGACGCTGCTGGTCTTTTTTCCGAATCAGCTAATCGTACCACTGGAAAAGCAGTTCAAGATATAAATCTACCGTTTGAAATGCGCAATGCCACCGCGGACGACCCTGAAATTCAACCCATCGGAATGACATCCGTCATGATCACGTCTATCGGCTTCCCCAGCACTATAGACTGCCCTTTACCCGAGTACCCCATGATCCGCATCCTGGGCGGTCAATTCGTGAATTTGACCACCGAATCTAAGCAGAATGTTAACACCACCGCCGACCATTGGCTGAATATGACGTGTGAGGGAGGTTTCCATGGGCGTGCGTGTCCGTATACCTTGCGGCTGGCGCACCAGTGCTCCGGTGCCTCGGTGAACTGCACCGTTTTCATTGAGCAGCCGGACGAAATGGCACGGTGTCCGGTAGCGTACTACGAGGTGCGGTACCAGTGCCTGCCCCCACTGACACCGGATAATCCCTTGAAACCGTATACCCTGCTGCCACCTGGAAGCGATGGAAGTGGTCCTTGTGCTTTGTTATACGTGCCGAGCCCGTCACCAAGTTTAACTGGAAGTTTCAACGTTCCCCTTTTTGCTTGAGAATGTGTATGCCGAAGCGTCGCTCAATGAGCGCTATTGCGAGATCCAATAAGTGGCTTTTAAAGAGTGCCCAACCGTTGGATGAACTTGAAAAAAATTTATCAGAGGCGAGTAGATACCTTGTTCGGAAAATTCCATGCATGATGGGTCATTATGATTCTCACTGTTGTTTGTTTTGTTAGATAGATTACCATGGGAAACGAAAAAAAATAATTTCTGCTGTTCGTCTGCAAATTAACTTCAAAAAAACCCAAGTGTCTCAACAAAAATTATGGTTGGGCTGTAAAGTGCAAAGAAAATAAAACAAAACGATGAACTAAAAAAATTCCATAATTTCATGAAACGTTGCGCTTGTGTGCGGAATGTTGAAGGTGCCGCAGTACAACTAACAAGACCGCATGTAACACCGGCTGGATTCCAGTAATTACACAGTTTCGCGCGCACCTGTGTGTTGCCGCATTATCGAAATGGATTACGGGCTAAAATATTTAAGTGTGCAACCCTTGCACAAGCAGTTAGTACCTTAATTTTGGAACTGCTAAAGGCACACCTGTAACCGTCCAAAACGACAGGTCGTCTGAGACGTCCGCCGGTCGTTTCGCCCACAAAACCGTCCGTAACGACCGGGGTCCGCCGAAACGACCGCAGTAGATTTTCCGCACCTGTTTTTTCTTGGAGTTTTCGATCGTCAACAAGAGGAATGAATGTAATTTTGGATAAACTTTGGATCGTTTCTGCTACATATTTGAAATACGAAGTTTTCTCGGGAAGAAACGACCGGATACGAAATTACACTCCCTGTTCACAATCGAATACGCAAAAAAACTGAGCTGGCGAAATTTACAGTAGTTGTTTAGGCGGTGCCGGTCGTTTTGCACGGTTTAGAGACCAAAAACGGCCGGCGGAAGTCTCAGACGACCAATGGTTCTGGACGGTTACACACCCCTTTTCACTCCCGTTATCTGTAGCCATCCCCTTCTGCACCCTTGTTGATGCTCTTTTTGTGTTCTCTATTGCCCACACCATCTTATACGTAAAAACTATAGGTACCCCTTTTGAGACAAAAAGAAAAAAACGTATTTGTTCCTTCGCTATTCTGTCATATCTTCCGCCTTAAAAAAATTTTTTAAGACATTTTGTGCTTTTTACTTTTGTTTTTGCTTGTACCTGCTTTCTGAAATATGTTTCTTTGTTTAAAGTAAACTTTGACAAACCCAAACGAAGTTTTGACAAATCCTTATGCATTAATAATGTCGCCGTCTGATACATCTGTACTGATTAGACTATCCGTAGATAACGCAATGGAGACTTTTTAGAAAGTGAAGCCTTAAGGCGTCGCCTAAAACGAACCGAACACAGACCATCCATTGAAAATACAGATCTGTACAGAGTACTGCTGCAAGCGCTGATATTATCATGCGAGTTGCCGACGCCGCCCCCATCCGCTCCACCCTCGCCGAGCAGCCAAATCGACCAGTTAAACTGGGTGGAGTGCGTACTATAACTAACAATAATCTCATTGTTATTGTGGGAAGCAAATTGACTGAAAAACATTGTCCAGCAAATTTATTAAAATATCGTAACGTATACTATATAAGTAGTCTATAAGTAGTAAAAATATATAAGTAGTAAAATATATAAGTAGCAAAAATAAAGGCGGAAAACAATTTCGTCGCTAAACAAGGTTTCTGTAGGTAAGCGAGCATCACTACTTGTACCAAGGATGCCCCGTCATGCTGAAAGTAGCCCATGAATGTTCTGTATTCAAAGGAAACTGCTGGTTTTCGGGGGTTAAACCGTTGTATCGGTCCGAAAAAATTCAAAAGTGTACTAAAAGGTTTTATAAGCATCCACATTACCATATTTATAAGAATCCATAGGTACCATCAGCGGTTCGTGCTAAATTACCTAAATTTCTTCTCGATCCGTTTCACCAATTACTGTAGGTTTGTAGGTATGCACTTATACTATTCAGCTTTGCACAGGTGGCTTTGATTTATTAGTTCTTTCACGCCACAACACCGTAGCAAACCAGTTGGCCCAACCTAGGTGATTAACTGACACAAAGCCATGCTGTAACCAGTTTGCCCAACCTTATTGGGTTAATGCACCGGTTATTAGTATTTGAATGCAAAATAATTTTTTCAATCAAAATTAACAAACAGATCCGTTTTCACACTTAGATTTTCGTAAATTAAAACAGGCGAACAGAACTGTGACATGCATACAAGCCCGTCTCAGGAACGGGTGAACGGAAAAAGCTTGTAATCTCATAAACGCATAAGCCACTACCGAAGAAAAACGCAACGGTCGAGCCATACATATTTACCGGTACCGCTAACAGTGAACATCCAAAAGCAGGTTTTATACCACAGTATTCCGTAATTCAGTGCAGTTTCTTTTGCAGTTGTACAATGTTGCGGTTAGCATAAAATACGAGTAGTATGACTACTATGTCGGCGACTCCGCGGTTTGTTATAAAGTTTAATTGGGTGCCAAAACCTTGGCATGATTAATGGATCAAATTATGGCTACTGGCCACGTATCTAACTCGTGATCGGTCTAATTCTGCCGAAGTCCAATTTTTAAAATTGTTTCCACTGCCAAGGAAAGCAGATTTTTCAGTAATCAGACTACATTAGTCGGTATAAAAAGAACCTGTCTGTTTACCTTGCATTTCACAGGCCTTGCAAGCTGCAGCAGCAATTTAACGGGCACCTTTGATATTGTGTAAAAGCTTATAAGATTAAGGCGCTAGTGGCTAGTGGTATGCACTGATTTGTTGATTCAAGTGCGTTTAGCAACCTTTCCACGTGAGAAATGGCAAACAAGCAAGCTCTCTTAACGACGTCTGCAGTCCTGCTGGTCAGTAACGAGCAAGTTCACAGAATTTTAAACAGTTTTCGTTTGTTAGTGCATCGTGAACTTTCCTTAATTTTTGTTTCAGAGTGTCGCCATGATGCTGTGCAGCTACAGTTACACTGATGCCACACCTGTAACAGCCAATAAAGCCATCCACCAGGACATCAGTCTCGAGCCCGAAGTGACTAACCGGACTTCTAAGAGAACCGGAAAGCCTATGCCGTACGAACTGTCCAACTCAACTTGGATCATTGAGTCGTCCGGTTCCATCAACTGCATCCATCCTGAGACCCCGATCGTGTGGATCCTGGGCAGTACTTGGACGTTCATGGACAAATCGGATACCATTAACCGGACCTGCCCGGGAGGCTTCCACTACCAGGGATGCCCCTTTACGCTGCGACTGGCCCATGAGTGCTCTGGATTCAAGGGAAACTGCCCGTTCAAACCAGTCAAACCGGACGAAGAGAGCCGCTGTCCAACGACGCACTTCAACTTCGCGTATCAGTGTTTGCCCGAGCCAACAGCCGATAAACCGCTCAAGTCTTACGCGGTGGCGCCGAAGAACGCCGATCCCAATGATCCTTGCCTGCCGTTGTATGTTGCCAAACATACCGGTGTTGCTGGCCATTAGCAACATATCTGTACATCTTCAAATTTCTGCCGAAATTTTCTACGTACTTAGATTTCGCTGCGCTTTTATTACTGCCAGTGATGTTTTTCGATAGAGCACCGTGCACTCGCTTTCCGCAGCTTGCTGTCGATGTACCGAGCGGCTTGAGAAAATATCGTTCTGTTAGTAAACTCTGTCAACCGTCAACATGTCTCCAGAACTGAAACCACACTGTCACTATGTGCACTGGTATAGTTTCCATTTGAACAAACAATGCCTCACTGCTTTTTTAAATTTATTGAACGCATAATGCCTTTATATGTAGCAGTCTTAAGTAGTCACTACTCTTAAGTCTTTTGACATTATTTATGCACAAAATGTGCTTGGTCATGGTATGAATCTCACAGAGAAACAAAATCAAAAATTATTTGGCTGGCGATCGGCAGGTCACCGTGCAACTCGCAAAACTGTAACAGCAAAAGACGAATCCTGAGTAATATACTGAAATATTTGTAATATAGAAACTATTTCTATTTGTACTGGGAAAATTTAGACACTTAAGCGGGAGGTGCTGACCGGGGCCGTTTACGAGCTTTCGGGTTAGGTGATAGTGACTAGTTTTCATCAGCACCAATACTTATACTCGTGAAAACAATATTTCAAGATTTGTTGGGTTACTTCAATGCCGCATATCTGGTGTGTGATCAGACTGGCTTAACCAAAGTCCGCGTTTCCCGTTGCTTTTACGCCGAAGAAAAGCAAAAGCTGCGGTGATATAAAAAAAAGCCATTTGCCGGTTTGCCTTGCATTTCCGCAGCCCGAGTCGAGCGGTTGTCAGAATTAAACGGCATTACTTTTAACTTACTAGTAGTTGTACAAGGTCCAGCACGTGTGAGATTCTAATTGCTGCCGATGTTCAATGAGTCCTTAATAAATTTATATACATCAACAACTTTCAAATTGAAATGAGAAACAGCCAACAGATTTCGGCGGCTACCGTCTCTTTGCTAGTCAGTAACGAAAACCCTCCTCTGGAATTGTTCGTTAATTTCGGTTGACTCAATGCTTTCCTTTGCTTTACAGGGTATTGTCGTCATGCATATCACCTGGGGTTACAGTGATGCCATACCAGTGACAACAAATAAAGCCATCCACAAGGACATCGATCTCGAAATCGAGATGACGAATCGGACTACAAGAGCCGGAAAACCTATCGCTCACGAATTATCCATCGCAACATGGAACGTAGGTTCGTCGATTGATTCCATGAAATGTCTAAACCCGGAAAACCCAATCGTGTGGTTTTTGGGGGGCACTTGGATCTTCTACGAAGGATGGGTGGAGATCAATCGCACATGCGAGGGAGGTTTCCACTACAACGGCTGTCCGTACACGCTGTGGATTGCCCATGAATGTTCCGGGGCCCATGGCAGCTGTTCATTTATCCCTGCAAAGCCGGACGAAGAAAGCCGTTGCCCGACGACGCACTACAGCCTCCGATATCAGTGTCTTCCGGTGCCAACAGCCGAAAACCCGCTCAAGCCCTATGCTATGACGCCCGAGAACGCCGACCCGAATGATCCGTGCCTGCCGCTGTATGTAGGCAAACAGGCCGGTGTCGGCGGGTAGTAGGAGTCATTCGGATTTTAATTTTTTGGTTCGTGAATTCTGCCACGAAGTTCCTGAACTTTAAGGCACCTCATGTTGAACACTTTCCTAACGAAGCTGAATGCTGCCCAGATAACCGATGGGATATTGAAATTACCCGTAAATAAATGCGAGCATGAAAGCAAAGTCATGCTTTCTTAATTTTCGTAAGGCAAAAGAGATGGAAACAATAAAAATTCGACAGCATAAGCTGAAAACCGTACACCGTGTTAACCATGGGGTTAGAACTTAGAAGGTTTGATTGACTTCGATTACATTGAATCATGCAGCTTATTTTGGACTTGCGAGTATGTTGGAATTTAGTGGGTCATAACCTAATGAAAACCTGATCTTTCTGTCAGACTGTCACTAAATGACTATCGTGACAATATTAACGAAATTTCAGTGTTTCATTTTCGGTATTACGCTAAAAAGGTCATTTTCAGTTCTTAACCTGCGCATTAAAAAAATATAAGTACTGCTTTATTTGCACATTAATGCCTCAATACCTGCGCCGCAAATACAAGTATGTACAAGCCCATCCAACAATTCTTTGACCGCTGTAAGCGGGAATTTAAAGAAACGTGGGCTTGAGCCATTTAATGTGCTTCGACACATCACGCCACATGAGTCTGCGTATTCAACGTAAATAAGCAACAAATCTGCCAGAATCTTTACAAATCTATTCCAGTGCGATATGAGAAGGTCTTCCACGCAGGTGGCGCTCGAACTGAGTACTGATATTTTGTTCCATATTTCGTTTCATGAATGGTAGTTCATAAACTGATCTGTTTCTTTTGTAGTTACTGGTAATTTAACTATGATAATTCTAACTGCGATCTGTTTGGTTTTGTTGATTAACCTGATAATTTTAACTGTGATGATGCTTTATCGGTGATTAATTGTGATCTAATATATTATTGTTGGTTGAATATTCATAAAAATATCTGCCACTACACTACGATGCGTATTTGCATTACTGTGCGCGATTTATATGCGCTGCGCTTACAGCGGTCAAAGAATTGTTGGATGGGCTTGTACATAACGCATTTAATTAGGCTCAACCGCACCTCGGATTTTTGCCTGCTTTGAAAAGATTTCCAGGATTGCTTTGCTAAAAATATTTTGTTATAGGTGCCGTGTGTCATTAGCGCGTAGTATGTGCATCGTTTACAAATTACAACGATGACACAAGCCGTCTAGAAGAATTTCTTAAAGTACGTTGTTGATAAAACAATATAGCTGCCTGTCAGAAATTTTAATCCTGATAATCCTGCACTTCTGCGCAGAGACAATATTATTATAGCATTGATAATGTTTTCGTCTGAGGAAAGAACACACGAATACATTTGTGAATAGAGTGTACAGAAGCTATTAGTCGCCGGTTGCGTTTATATCCGGAATCAATTACTGAAAAGATCCGTTTTCGATGTACCTCCCGATGTATGCTCGCTTGCATGTGGCTTAGAAACGAGGGCTATTTAAGCAATCATTCTGTCGCAACGAGTAAAGCGCGTTGTTGCATTTACAAATCCTGAGCAATTTGCATCATTTAGTTTGTCTGAGCTTGTTCAGTGTCAGATCAGCTAAGCATTTTCAGTGATAGTTGTTCAAGAATTTGTATTTTAGCGAAGTGTATGCGTGTGCCATGGACGGAGGGAAAGCTTCGGAGAATGTACCGCTGGCTCAAATGCCATTTACCGATGAGACGATGAAGACCCTCGTTCTTTGGTGGAAGGGAGAAATCGACGGGCGAGCTTTATTTAAGATCCTCACAGATGCCGGTGTTAGCATGCTAACTGGAGACAGGAGAGCGGTGACGGTTGCTGATTTGCGTCGGGCCCTTTCAGACGAATGGACGCGGGAGTTGTTCGAGCTTCCGAAACCGGAAGCTTTGAAATCGGCCAAACGCTACTTGGGGGTACGTCCGGAATCCACCAACTTGTTCATCAATAGGCAATATCACCATGCTTTCCACTTGCCTCCTTGCCCTGGATCGCAAAAAATCCTCCTGAAGATGCAGTTGGCCATTGCGATTATGAAAATCGCTGCAGGAGATGTCAACGGAAATGGAAAGTGTGACCGTTAAGTGACAACAAATGAATGCTGCAGTAACTTGACTAACTGACCCTACCCTAGGAGTGTTGAAACGTGGACCTGCGTGTCTGGCATTATGGTTGATGCTTCCGTTGCAATATCCGGAATAAATTCTGGAGTTTTGAATAACTATGATAAGCTGCAAGTACTTTGTAGTGTAGTGACTCTAGTCTATTTGAATGGTTCCATTTGGCTGGTCCGCAATCTTGTATAATTTAACGTGTCATATCCTTAGTTTTCATTCTTATAAAAGTGTCTTGATGAGTATGTCCAGTTCAGATAAACCCACTATGTCATGATAATTAAAAATGGTGTTTATGTTATAGCAGTCTTATTTTGGTTCTGTTCCCATATCGCAGTATCAGTCGGACACCAGAATATTAACTGAACAGATTTATATTAATTGTTTAAACATGACTTCATAGAGCTGCTTTCGATAGTTTGCAAGAAGCCTGCCATAGAAAATTTTTGCCGGATCATCGGTTTCTAATTCCCTGGTAAATATTTCACGTAGGAATAAAAATAGTGGACCACTGGACTGGCACTTCCAGTTTTCTCAACAACCACTCATAGTCCATACATCAGAAACTACCGCCCACCCACTTTATGCGAGCTGCATCAGTTGATCATACTGTAACCATGCTACCGCATGGAGGTACCTCACAGCAAATATTTTATACATTATTTATAAATAAAAATTATTAATACATGCAATGAATCCTTTCCGATTGGCTATTTTAAACGCTAACTGAAGTCACCATTTGCTACTGCATCGTAAGGTATTTCAGGAGCAGATGCATGCGAGTACTTCGAATTTTCCTACAAGTTCTCTGACACTGGAAGTACCATGAGCGCCACTGGGGCCACTAAACTCGAATATGTACGTAGAATATGCGGCTGCCGCTCTTTGTCAGTCATGGTTCCTTAGGGACTAAAGCGCGTACAAGAACAGATCACGCATGGACGAGAAACGTCTGAATTCCTGCCAGCAATGTCCAACTAATTCTCGCTAAGTCAGCACTCATTGGTCCTTATAAACATTTGTCCATGAGAAACAACCCGCTCAATTCGTCATTATGCCATATCTAACATGTAATTTCCCTATAATAAAAAGTTGACCTTTCTGATACCATGCTCGTCTTGAAGGATTCACGTTCTCCAATGAAGCCCGGCGTCTGGCAGTCGCGCGGAGTCTGCATTCTTTTCCATCTCGCCAAGATCTTCGGCATCCGTACCGAGAGCTTGAAATCTATCCGCACCAAGAAACGCTACACCGCTGTGTTCGCCTGGCGCTGCTTACAAGCCATCCTGTTGATCTTCGCCATCGGGATCGGGGTGGTCGATTCACTACGCTCATGGAAACGCTACCAGGTGCAGCTGTCCAAACTGGAGTTCACCGCGGTGACGATGAGTATCTTCCGGGCATGCTACATCTCCAAAGCCGCCATCACCATCGTCCTCATTCTCCGTCGGCGCAAAGAATACCGGCGGATCCTGAAGGCGGTTGCGCGAGTGTGTGAAAAGCAAATTGGTGCGTTGTCGCAAATCAAATCGTCAATTAATTATTTAGCCGTTGGATTGACGGTGTGGAGCGGGATGGCCATCGCTGGGATTATCTGGGCGGTGGCTAAGACTTTCTCTTTAGCCGCGACAAAACGCGCTATCCCGCTTAATGCCACCCACTGTTGGTCGTGCACGGTTGACCATCCGGTTATGTTGGATATCCCGATCTGGATGATCTGTGTGCTGTACGCCATCATGATGTTCTTTGATGAAGGTCTTGATGTTTATCCACAACTGCTTATCTGCTTGATTATGTTCGCCTTGGCTCTGTGTTTCAAGAATGTAAAGGAGAATGTGCGGAATATCGTCCATAATCCTTTTATTCCCTTGGAGTATCATGAAGACAGGATTAAGTGTTTAGCCGCAGTGCACTTGGAGTTGTCCCAGTTGGTACTGGATTTTGATCGCCTGGTGTCACTGTTGATATTCATGCTGTACGGAGTGGATCTGATGGGATTCATCAGTTTGACGTCCTTTGCGATGTATAAGCATGGAGTGCATTTCAGTAGTTATCAAGAGAATGATATCATCCTCTTTGCCTGTGTATTGGTAATTGTATCTGCGGTAAATTCCTCCATGCGGACGGGACTGGCAATTATGATGAGCGAGCAGGTACGAGTCCGATCAATTTGAAGTGTGATAAGTATTACTCCGAATAACCGTGTGTTGTGCAGGCCCATGCTGTGCTCCCGCATCTTCATAAGATGACATTGAATATGAAGAGCAACGAAGGTCGGTTTGCTCTGGGGAATTTCGTGTCAAGGTTGGAGAATAACCGTGTGGCCATGACCATTGGAGGGTTTATGTACATCACGCGCGAAGCCGCATTCACGGTAATTCGACAATAATACACTGTAGGTACAAAGTGGTCCAAGTCTTTAAAACCCTCAAAACCTTTAAAACCCTTAAAACCTTTAAAACTCTTAAAACCTTTAAAACTCTTAAAACTTTTAAAACCATTAAAACTTTTTGAGAAATCACTGTCGATGCGATGTATTTATTAATTAATTAAAACGTTTGGTTTTATTAGTTTTAATAGTTTTAAAATTAGATTTGGACCATTTTGTACCTACCCTCAATAATATGCCATGTACTGCACCTCCGTAAAACCGATATAACATTTTTAGCGGCTTCTTGTTAATAGATTTTTGGACTGTTGGTGACGTATGTGCTCTTCGTGTATCAAATGCAAGATCAAAAGCAAGATTTATCACGACTTCCCACACTGGAGCAGATATCTGCTCGCTATCCAAAACTGCCGGCCATTTTTGTACTGAATGGCACCGGGAATTGATTGAGCAGCTGCCACATTCCAAATGTGTTGACCCGCTACGGACATTGATTGTTTTTATTGATATCGACATTATGTTGGACTTATCAATATGAACTGCACCGGTGCAACCAGAACACAGAAACCCGAAAACTGAACATTAGGCAACCAAGCTCTGATAGAACAATAATTTAATGCCTAAACATGCTAACGATAATATTATGATAAATCATACAGTCAGATGTCATAGTAATCGCCCCAGCCTTAACGCAGATGGTAAACCAATCGCTGCGGGAGGGAGTGTTTCCTTCCGTGTTTAAGCGAGCTGAAGTATTTGCCTTGCCGAAAAGCACCTCACCGCAGTGTGCTGATGACTTCCGTCCGATTTCGTTACTTTGCAATTTCTCGAAACTATTCGAGAAATGTGTGCAATTGCAAATTGTGCGCTTCCTAAAAGAACACGACATTCTGTCCCCAAACCAGTCTGGATTCAGAGATGGCTATTCTTGCGAAACACTGTTACTGAAAACAACGGAGAAGTGGAAGAAGGCAGTTGATAGTAGCAGTGTGACGGCAGTGTGTTTTTTAGATCTGAAGAAAGCCTTCGATAGTGTAAGCCACTCGCGACTGCTAGAAAAGATGAGAAAAATTGGGGCCGGGGACATCGTGGTGCAGTGGCTACATAGTTACCTCACTGGCAGAGTACAAAGGGTGCGAGATGGCAAGCGAACATCCGACTGGTTGCCACTAACATCTGGTGTCCCGCAGGGCACTGTGTTAGGTCCAATCCTGTTCACCATCTACATCAACGACGTGCTTACTGTTAACGCAGGAGATTGTGATGTTGACTGTTTTGCAGACGACACAATTGTTCATGCTACCGGAAAGACGAAAAGCATAGCTGCCGCTAAACTGAACGATGGACTGGTACGTGTTGGCCAGGTTATGGAAGAAAATATGCTGCATATAAACGAAAAGAAATGCCAAGCGATATACATATGTTCCGATCGCAATATGCAGCCGGATCCAGAAGTCGTCATCAATGGGTCAGTTGTCGGCATATCAAAATGTGTACGGTACCTCGGCGTTGAGATCGATAACCACCTGAAGTGGAACGATCAGTTCAGAAAGGTACAGCGGAAAGGGAATTTCGGCATTGCCATGATTAAACGCGCACAACAAGGGCTCAGCATGTCACAGCGCAAAGGTCTTTATCACGCTTGCTTCGGTTGCCATATCGCACACCAGTCGCCGGTATGGTCTGCAGCGTCTTCGACTGAGCGCAACAAGCTAGCCGGACTACAACGTAAAGCTCTGAAAACCATCACTGATTACAAGATGCCGGTTACTCCGGAACTGTATCAGAAGTTGGGTATCCCTCACATATTCGACCGATGGCGTCAGAGCAATGCGGTGTGGCTGTACAAGATCTGGAACAAGAGTCAGTTTTCTCTTCCCGCTTACCTCCTGGACATGATCAAAGTGAAAGACAACACCATGCACTACAATTTACGAAAACCGGCAAGAGTCGACGCTGCACGGGCAAGGAGAGTTATTGGAGAGGCGACTATGGAATTTCGATTAAAGCGTCTGCTTGATAAAATTATTGCTGTTAACCCTAAAATTCTTGATGCAAGTTCTGTACCTGCCTTTAAATTCCTACTCAAATCTGTCGATCTGTCTTAAATACTTACATTAGCGCTCAAATGTTTTTTGTTCGACCAGACTTGAAGTCCCTTTGGGGTTGTCTGCTCTTGTGCCGTAATAATAATAATAATAATAGTAAGGCTGAAGAAATTCCTGACTAAAGAGTGACCAGGTACGAACTGCATAAATATATTTGTGGATAAATATCCATACCCGAGAACGGCGCCGGAACAGCATTGTCCAATTTTATCACTATCAGAGCGTAATTATTAATATAATCATCTATGTGGCCAGTTATGCTCTCATTATTGTGCATCACCTGATGACATGATGAAAGGTAGCGAGAGCTCAGTGTAACCATAAAAACTGTTTTCTAAATTAAATACAGTTGAAGTTCGCGAAGAGCGATCGACGGTATATAAACGGCAGTATCTAAGACCGTAGCTCCAGGTCAAGTCAGCTCGTAGACGAAGACGATAGTAACGGAAACGCCGCGCCGGATGAAAAAGAACAGAAACAAATTATTCATGGACTGCAAGTGTATTATCACCACAGTCCGGTAAGTCCGCTTATACTACCCGCGAATGTCCGTGGAAAGCAAGGTAGAATCCCGAATATGTTGAATACGTCGGAAATCTTGGGTTCCGTCCCACCAGTCAGATACTTCGTCAGCTAAGTGATTTTGAAGTTACCGGTCAACAGTCAACAGTTATAATTGTCAGCAGAATGGTTTTTGGCTCGATCAAGAAGGACGTTAAAACCATCATGTCAGCACATATCAATATCCAAAATGCTTTAATTGTCAGTATTCCGGGTTCCTCAAGTGATGACTATCCTTGAATCTTAAGCGCAAGTCAATAAAAAAAAGTCCTTTGAAATTACCGTTATAATGTGTTGTGTAAAAGTGTGTGTAGTTTTATTACGGGGTCTTTGCAACGAAACTGCCCTATCGTATTGTCAAACAAAGCGTCTAAAACATTCGTTTTGCGCACAGTACACCGAAGATATCATTTATTCCGCACAACCGTTACCGCAAATTACAACAAACCAATTTTGGCCTTTTAAAATATCTGATGAGTGCTAAAATTTGTAAAGCCACAAAGTCGCAAAAACTCTCCATTTTGACGGTAAATGACGGTCAAACTAAGAACGCAGCCAACAGAATCTTTTAAGCGATAAAAACAAATTTGAATCTGGATTAGAGTTAGTAACAGCTGATATAAGATTTTCCTTCTTGACATTTCAGAAACATATGCTTGCGTTTATCGTCGACTGGCATTTTAACAGCTGCTGAGCTCGGAATCATAGGCACGAACGCGATACTGAAGTCTGTAAAGCAAAACATCAGTTTCTATCAAAGCTCAGCTGTGCATGTACTTGTACTGTACTGCTTATAAATAAAATAATCGACATTTACCTGATATCGTGACCAGGATGATTGGGAGTGCAGTCCATAGTGGGTCCCCACTCTGAGCTGGACTCGGACGGTGCGACCGTGCCGTAGTCAAACTGGAAGACGCACTGGAAAGATTCGATCAAAGTATAGTGCAGGAGCGCCGTCGGATCACCATCTTTCACTTCCACGCGCAGGTTCACCCACTACGAAAAGTCAACGTGCAAACTAGCCATTGTACTATAAAACGCCAGTAAGGAAGTAGAAGGGAAGTCTTATCTAGTACGTTCAAGGCTCCGCCGCAGATAGTGCGATGCATCTTCTGGTTGAGTTGCGGTGAATTATTATCCCAGAAGTTGCCCACTTGTTTGTAGCCATTATCGCCGTCAATACCGGGCCATTTCCACAACGAGTTCTCACTAATATTAAGAAATCAGTCAAAAATAAAATATTTTTTTAAATTATTCTAGTTGGTGTAACGGTGTAAAGTGTATCAACTAGTCAACTCGTTAAATTGTATACGTACGTGTCCAGTTTGGCCATGAAGAACGGATCGCAGGGCGATGCCACATCGCAAAAGTCTCCTTTGTACGTTTTGCCGTTGGGATTGTTCAGTTGGACTAGCTGCAGTTCCAGATTGATGATTTCGTGCTCGCCGGGAACGTGCGGCTTGGGTTTAGAGGAGGATTTGCTGCTGTCAGACTGGAGCTGCATCAGCTGGGCGTGGTCAACATGGCACGTGGCTTCATCGGTTTTGAATGCGCGAATGTGTGCTGTCAGTCTACAAGCACCGAAATAGGTATGCCTTTATTTATTGTTTAATTAAACTGCAACCACGTACAAATATAACTCTATATCGAAACTTGTTAAAAAATGTATCCCCAATTAATTGTGCGTGAATATATCCGACAGCTTATCTACTGCCGCCTATGCTGCTACAAAAGAATTTAACGAGCTGGAAATTAGGTTGAAGTTGGGAAGCCTTTCTTACATGCACGAGTGCTTAAAACATTTTGCGACATTTATCAATTTATTTTTGTCAACTTACATTAAAAAATTCCGAAATGCTTAAGAGCTGTCAGTACACAATACGGTAATACATACACGTGATCACTGTTGCGGTATTTAGCTTGGCAAGTTGTTGTCGGCCCCCATTTGGCGTTCTTGGCATCACTGGCCACGTCACTTGGATTGATGATGAATTTGCAGTCAATGTCATCGATTGTCTGCCAGATTCCGCCAACGTCGGTATCGTAGATATAGGCACGTAGCGTGACTTGCTAAAAATCCCGAACAGTTTAAATTTGCCTTACCAAAATTTTAATTAGTACTTTCCAATTGTGAACAGATCTTTTCTCGTATATGACAATACTGCTTACACTGGAAGCGCCACCGCAGACATCGTGGTTGACGATAGCATTAACAGTCGGACTGTCGTTATCGGTGCTGGTGAATACCACTTTGGCTTTTGCGGCGGATTCAAAGGGCTTCAAGGGTTTGTCCCTGTTGAGGAAAAAAAAATATTGTGCCAACGATTTATTTAACTGGTGACGCCAAATAATGGGAAACAACGCCCGGAAAATTTGCTACATTGGACTTATCAATTATAAGTTACAGTAAACAAGCAGTTATGATGCGGAGAAAATCACATAAATCGGGCAATGCTCCACGCGAAGCCCTCATTAATTACTCGCTGCACCCATTATAAGAGCAAAAACCTGACAGCAGAATGGCTTTTTTCTTGCCGTAGGTTGTTTTTGGTACTATCAATGCTCAAATGGAACTGTGTGATATGAGCAATACGTAAAATATGCACTCGCATATAAAAATGCCGGTTGCTGTAAATGGCAAACCGGAAACTTTGCAGCTAAACAGGTACAAATGGATGTGCAATATTACTGTGAGTGCCAACTGCCACATACACTAGATAAAAGCTGTGGTAACAGTTCGGGGCCTTCCGAATTCACTTACAAGTCAAGGTAAGCGGAAATGCCGGTATCGCATTTGCTGGTTGAATCGCACCAATGGTTGGACAGATCCACGCTACCGGGGTTAGAAAACTTGATTATCTCTACCTCTACACGGTAGTATGGGGGGAAATTGTCGGCGGAATCTGCAGCATCAGGGGCGAGGTTAACAACAACATGTGAAGCACCGGGTACCTGCACTGTCTGCACATCTGACAAGAAAAAATAACTCTAAAAGCCAAGCACATTTACAACAACACCGCAATCCCAAATTAAAAGTGTCCATTAAAGTACAGCATTTAAAGATTTAGAAACAGCAGACAAGTGAATGCAATAAAGAACATTCCTTAACTTCTCACTTAATTTATTGTATAATGTTTTCATCTAAAAGGAAAAACTGGAATACGAGTACTGAGTAAATAATTTATCAGTCTGAAAGATAATTAATAAAATGGCAGGTTGACGCTAAAGCAGTAACAAGCAAATCTTCGCTTACCGCCCTTGCCACGTCCACGTTGCCCGTTGGAAACGCCGGCAACGGCCAACAAGACCGCTAACAACAGGAGATGCATTGTGACTAACGCTGGCTGCTAACCGTTCGCGATAACAAAGCAAATGCCGGCTGTGCATTTTTCTGTGCGAACAGAACGCCGGTTTTATTGGGATGATCCGCACAGCCTCGGGCTCTTGTTTTTCTGAGCACCAAGCACAACCTGTTGGCAAAGATCTCACTTTACAAACGGCTTTGTAATGATGGGTAAACATAACTAATTAAAAATATACTTTCAACACATTTTAAATGAACATAATATTTATTAATTATCTGTTGATTTTCCAAAATATCCGAAACAATAAACAATTATTTTTCCATCAACGATCAGCGGTCTGTATGAAAAAACGATAAATTTATCCTAATTTCCACTTGATTGTATTAATTACGTGCACGACATTCGCGGAATACAATACACAGCATTAAAATGCGACTCAATAATGCATTGATTTTGGTCACCCGATTTACTACTTTTTTTTATACAACAATTTTACAGCCCTGTAACCGTTTGACTAGACATCGGCCGTGGTCGTTCAATGTTCGGAACTGACAGTGCGCGTTCGTAATTACTTATTTTCTTCTTTTAGGGTTTTATGCTCGAGCCTTACGGAAGTACTGTGCAGTGACCCGGATGCCGCGGATGACGCCGGTGGGCCGGTGTGCTGGGATATCAGTGTGGTGCAAAATCACCGCGGACGAGAAAATACTTCGCTGTATACTGGACTTGGAGATAGTGAGTGAGCTGCATACTCTTGCGCTGTTTATTGGGCAAAGGCCATCAGTGTTACAAAAAGTGCATTCGCGTAATACTACTTAAAATGATTCAAATTTAAACGTTAAAAAAACCGCTTTGACATGGATACCCCGCATGTTCCAAAGCGGGCTTTGGAACATGCGGGGTATCCATGTCAAAGCGAGCCACTCGGACTGTCAGGCATAAACAACACGCGGCCAGACGGCATGACTCTCGTCCCGGTACGGGATGGTAAGGCGCTGGTATGGGACGCTACATGCTGGGACACGGTAGCCGCATCGCATGTCCGGGCAAGTGCGAGTGCATCCGGTAGTGTTGCGCATATGGCCGAAGACGTTAAACGCCGTAAATACGCTTACGTGGAAAGGATGGGTTACCTGTTTTACGCCCTGGCAGTCGAAACTTTTGGCACTTTTGGTTCTGATTTTATGGAGCTCATTCGTTTCGCTGGCAGAAAGATTCGCGACGTGACAGGGGAACCTCGTTCTACTGCGTTTTTGAAGCAGAGATTAAGTCTAGCTGTAGTGAAAGGAAATGCTGCTGCTGTTTTGGGCACCTTGAATATGCGTCCTAGGGTTTTTGATAGCAATAACGATTTTGGCTGCATACTCTTGCATTTAGTTCCGTTATGTGGGAATTTCGGCACTTTAGTATAAAGTGTTGATTTAAATTGCGTTACAAGAACACGAAGGAACCCTCCTTTATTACGAGATTGAAACGGCGGGCCGAGTTCGAAAAACGTCACGGCTACCTGTGTTCTTGTCGCAGATGCACAGAGCTGCATATGTACAGTATGTCTTGTTGCAATTCCAAGTACAAGCCCATCCAACAATTCTTTGACCGCTGTAAGCGCAGCGCATATAAATCGCGCACAGTAATGCAAATACGCATCGTACTGTAGTGTAGTGGCAGATATATTTATAAATATTCAATCAATAATAATATATTAGATCACAATTAATAGACCATTATTAGACCAACGTGGAATCAATCATCTTTAGCCCGGGCATGTTGCAATCAGTAATTTGAAAGTAATATGGATATTAAGTACCACCGCGATATTGTATTACAAAGCAAAGATAATACTGTCACAAAAGTATAAAATTAATATAAATTATGATGGCAATAAATAATGCTAAACATATTACATTGTATATCACAGATACAGTAAGTGCAACACATGCAGATTTGTTGCTTATTTACGCTGAATACGCAGACCCATGTGGCGTGACGTGTCGAAGCACATTAAATGGCTCAAGCCCACGTTTCTTTAAATTCCCGCTTTCAGCGGTCAAAGAATTGTTGGATGGGCTTGTATTACATTGGCCACTGTACTATCAACGTTTTTAGGTGGAAAAGCCCGGTTACACCAAGAAAACTTGGAGCTCTTTTACGATATATCTCCGGTGGAGTAATTTCGCTGAAGTATTACAACAGCAACCGCTTCGAGATGGCTGGAAGATGATCAAGGGGTTTGCAGCTCGTGTGGGGTAAAAGGCCCCGGTAAATTGAGCAAATGCAGGTAGTTAATTATTGATTAAAAATAATTTGGTTTAATGATCTAATTATACGTAGATTTAATAATTATCTGCAGTAACAATACTTATGATTGGAGTTGTTTCACGGAGATCTATTCGAAGTGTGCAGACTTTCGCGCTCTTCTGCTGGTAATTGTTGCGCTGCATGACTACCACAGCAGCGCTGGAAAAAAGAGTTCTGATTGGTTTCAGTAACCTGCCGAAACCGGCGAAGCAACAGGTGAAATCATTAACTGTTCAAGTGTGCTGCCTCATTCGAGACTGCGCTCAGGAAGCGAACAATAATTTTGGTGTACTGTTTGGTATGGGGTCGCAAGAAGCCGTGATGCAGCAGGCGACTACCGAATTAAGCCGTCGTTTTGCGGCATCAAAGAATGATTTTTTGTTGTTTTCTAGGTTATGTTTGTGCCCAGATGGAATCTGCTACTTCGGAACGCCGGTAGTTTTACGCACTATAAAAATAATTTACTTGCAACACTGTCCATTCGAATTGCTTGATCCTAATTGATAAACGACCATCCAGGGGACAGTCTCAACCTTTTCGTTAACTTAGTTTTCGTCCGGATGGGAATTTATTTAATTTTATGAATAGCAAGTTTTACGGAGATACGTTAGCCCGATAATCTGTATTGCTTCCGTCGGTATTAATAAAAACTTTCGTTAGCTATAATGCGTGATGATATGTAATACCCAATATAATGTAGAGTGGAATTAGGCAAGGCATTTTCTCGTTAGATCTTCGTACCGGTTTTATTTCGCACAGACCAACAGTTAGTGCATGGAATCATGGGCCCATGCAACGATCTTGATCTTGCCAAAACGTCGATATAATGGTCACAAATTAATTTAGTACGTTTAATTTTTAAATGATCCACACCTCGTAGATGAAACTGAAGATTGGTGCAGTCACAAAAAAGTAAAGTATTGTCCATCCGTTGCAGACGAATACTGCTACGTGCACTGAATTGCAGCACAAATAAATTAGACCAGCTATATTGTCAGATCGAGGAGACAGCAACCGGATTTGACTGCATGACAACGGGATTGAACTACTGTAGGTCATACTCTTCGTTAAATCAGTTTTCATCTTGCTGCAGGCATCTCTTCCCAACGATCGAAAGCTTAAATAGACTCAAAAGTCATATGTTATAAAGCCAATGCGGCACATGTATGGTTTCGTTATGTTATTTTTGTGGACCATACCCCATCTTTTTAATTTTAAGCAGCTGTTTTCGGTTTTTTAAGCAGCTGTTTTTATCCTTCGGACTAAGATAGAATGGAAATTCAGGAAGCTTTGCCGAGCGGTGGCATCCGTTCCTTCGCTGCTGGCGACGTTGTAATGGCCTGTAACCCTTTGGTTTGGGTTCTGGAGCGCAGCGCCTACAAAACACACTGCGCCTTTTGCTTGTACGAGAGTAAGGAGCTGCGGAAATGTTCGGGATGTCAACTGCACCACTACTGCAACCTTACGTGCCAGGTGCGATAAAAAGACTGCTAAAAACGGTCTATAAGCTAGAATGTAAAACCGTTTCGGTTCATAATGGACCTGGAAAACTAGAGACCTAGGCATTCACCAGAGATCATCAGCGACACTTTTAGTCTTTTGGAATTTATGGAAACGAGAGCCTGCGTTGCAAGTGTCTCAACCTCGTATTGATTTTCTACGAAGAGTACATTGTGAATCAGTTCAATATTTATTGTAATGCAGGACGTTGTAGTGTATTAAGAATCAGTGCGCAAGGTTTGGAATGTGTGCCTTTGCCTTTGTTGGCAGCATGGCGACAATTCCCAGCCATGGGTGTACGCCCAAGATATCGTTGCAATGGAAATTAATTGTTTTGTGGTTGGTTCAATGTAGGCAGCTGACTGGAAAATGGAGCATAAAATGGAATGCAATGTGCTGAAGCAGTTCATTGCAGACGTTAGCGAAACGGAATACACGTTTTCTACGATGCCAAGCGGTCCTGCGAGTCGCGTAACATCAAACGACCTTACCAAGACTAGTTGTACTCTGTACCATTGGTGACATGATGTCCAAATTGGACTATAAAATTCAGGTAAGACAACCGAAAGGAAAGCGCAATTTTGCCAGTTGGCTGCCTAATAAAAAAGCCTAAAAAAACTTCTGCTGATTGTTAAAGAGACTTCAATGGCCCATATTATCGAACAGAAACGTCTTCGGCTTCGCCTCCGCGTTTCGTGTGGTTTACTATCGCTTTTCACCTGAAAAAGCTCTACAAGTGGGGACCAGACTAATTCTGCGGAGAAGCAATCAATTCTTTTGTCCCTCTCGCTGATTCACATGCTACAGTTTATAAATTTTAAATACGTAAAGTTTGCGCGAATTCTAACGTTGCCAGATCCTAAATCACACGCTACTGATTTTGAGTACTAGTATTTCATACGAACTTTAGCCCTGAGAGCGGTATTTCCGGCTTCAAACCCTTGAATGTTTTAGGACAACAAAGAAAGTTCAACCCTCTTATGAAATCCTTTTCATGGAGATAATAAACTTATTAGGTTTTTTTCCTTATTAGGCTTCGGCAATATATTCGGCAAAATATGTGTTCGATTATTAGATTATTCAAGTAACCTACAGTAGCTGGCTTGACCGCCATTGCACAGTAATAAAGGTTAGCTGATTTTGCAGATTATTCCCTTTCAGTTGATGATCTCTTATTTACAACTCCCCAGTTTTGTCACCGCTATCCTTTGGACATTTTTTATGAACGTTCCACTCTGAAGTTTGAATTTGTTCTGCATTATTTTGAAAACAATGGGTGGTTTTGAATGATACCATTTTAAAATTAACAATGGAGGTACTCGACTATGTAAATTAATGTTTGTCATATTATTATTTTGGGTAGCCGGATTATTTCGAGTTTTGTTTACCGTATAGAAATGGTCAATTCTAGCTGCCATGTCTGACAACGAAGCAGAAATTCTGATACAGACTCCGCACTCTTGATTCGCGTTGTCGTGAAATTCGGGAGCAGGAACTTTAATAGTATTTTCGATTTTACATACACCATTGTTTCGAAACCTGGCTGATTTTTCAGACCTGGTTCTGAAGAGCAACCAACCACTTAGCCACAATTACCATTTAAACGGCTGTTTTAGCTGCAGGGTTTCATCGACAAAAAAATTGTAATTCAAATACGTACTAGAAAAATCAGGTTTTTCTTAGTGCAGGTAAATCTGTCCTGTTTCTTAGAATAATCTGCTCCCGGCATTTTAAAATTGTTGGTAATCTTGAAATTGTTGGTAAAAACTGAAATAGATTGGGTTATGTTAAGTTACAGTCCCATCTCATGTTTAACCGGGACAAATTCTTTATTTGAGTGTTTTTATTGAGCGAAGCTCGCTAATGTGTATAATGCGATTAAAGGGTAAATTGGGCTATATCAAGTAAGCAAACTCGGAGTCAACCTCGGGTTTGTCATTAAAATTTAGGACCAGGTGGTTTGACTACCAGGCTTAAAGGTCATTATTTCCTAGTACATTGTCGCTACTGCTAGAACATAGCAAGAACGGATAGGCGTTTTAGAGCCAGTGGCGCTGATTTGAGAGGTCAGATTGAGGTTCAGAGTTTGACCGTGGGCCATCTTTGACGACGAAATGCCGAAGCGACAATCACGCTAATTAACAATTTCGGCTGCTTGTAGTTGCGATACAGTGAAAACCTGGAACCATCACGGAATACAAGAGCGCAGCGCCGCGCTGAATTCCAGCGGCATCACGGCTATCCGTGTACTTGCCACAAATGCACCGAGGAAGATGTACATACGTCTTTAACCCACCATTGAAACGCTGTTCGACATCTATGATCTTTTTTAGGATGCTGACATTAATCCGCTCCGATGTGTGACACGGGGGTGCGCCAACCGAATTCCCAGCGACAGCCGTGCACTGGCAGCCTGTTCGGAATGCGGCGCCCTCAATGGTGACCGTTTGACGCAGTTTCTTCGGTTTGTGCATCAGTACGAGAGCATTAAGACGCAGGGCGAACGATTCATGCCCGTTGCTACGGATATCAGCCAAGCGATGGAATCGGCGGGTATCCTGCATCCGGATGCACATTTCCGTTTTGTCTGCGGCTGGAAGCTGCCCCACAAGTATTTCACTGGGAACCGCTTAGAAGATGGCTGGAAGATGATGGAAGAACTCACCGACTGTGTGCGGTAAATTTGCGGTTTTAATACTAGTATTCAGTACAAGTATTAGTGCTTAGAACAATACAAAGTAATACCATGAGGATGTTTATCTACCTACAATTATATCTTTGATATTTTATACCTTTCACATCTTTAATTGTTCAATTGTTGTTACCAATTCACTAGTAATAATTATGACAACTCAAAGCTTTTTTTAGGAAGATACTCGTATATCCAAAGTATGATGGTTTTTATGCTCTTCAACTGATGGGACAAGGAATGTCTTGCTCTATAGCGCTGCGCCAGCGAGTGCTGAGTGAGACCGGCCTGCTGTCGCGACCACCAAAAAAGGAGCTGAAAACATTTGCTACTCATATGAGTCATCTTGTGCTCAATTATTGTCAGGAGGGCAAAGATATCCTTGTTATTCTGTTCGGGAATAACTCCAAGGAAGTCGAGAAAGCCGACGCTGTGCTGGAACGAGTGACTGAGAGATTAGGCCCCATCGAACAGTTTCTGCGCGGAAGTGAGCCAAAAAACAAGAAGTAATTATTTGCGCTTCTTTTTGTTTTGATATTGGTCAGTCCTTGCTGGCTTACCGTACAGATGCTTGCAATACGGCAAACTGGGAACTTAAGCGATATATTGCAAAGTGAAAACTGAAAAACCTGTCCACATTTGCGGATGTCGATCTCTCACGCGTCAGCATGGCAACAGCAGATCGAAAACTAAGTGGTAATGTGCAGTGTATATGCATTATCCTGTCTGCGTACCAACTCTGATGCTAAACAAGATTCGATCGTTGCGTTTATGAGTTGTGTTGTGTAGACATTTGTGTTCTGTAGTTTTGCTATCGTCCAATAGGGACGATGGACACGACAAGACAACTAAGATAAATGATATTTTCTGCAGTTCACCCAGGGAAGTGACAAGGTCACTGACAAGTGATAACGATGATCCGGCTAAAACTGCCGTTATACAGCAGATTTTCTATATGCCTGATCATACCCGTTTCCGACCTATTACAGTGCAGGATGGGTCTGCATAACGCATAATGAATAATCACTATCTAATCTTTCCATGAACGCTTGCTGTAGTCGATACGAGAAATGTGCGACATCAGCGTGTTCTATAAAAAAGCCGGCAAGCGTGACGCATCTTTTACATACCATTAATTACCGCTTTCAGCTTGACCACTTGAACGTTTTCTACGGATGTCTGATCCGATCAAGAGGAGTCCCTACAGAAAAAAATGGTCGACTTCGTTGTTGTGGCAACTGCCTTTGTCGTCATCGCTATTGCCGTGTATTTCTGGCAGCAGAAATCCACTGCGAAACTCCCTAATGGACCAACGGGATGGCCCATTGTGGGCAATCTGGATTTTTTTCTCTCACCTGGTCCGCAACGACATTTCAAATTCCTGGAGACGGGACGAAAATACGGCGGAATATTTCGCTTCAGAATCGGCATACTGTAAGCTGGGAATAAAAACCGCCAAAAGTTCAAATAACTCAAGGATAATATGATGATTTTTGTTTCAGGAACAGCGCTTGTGTTACTTCCTATCGTCTGTTCCGGGAAGCCACAGTTGAAAAAGGTTGGTCATTCGCGGATCGTCCACACGATATACGGTTTCCAGAACTGGATACAGGTTAGTGCATCTTATTTCATAATTAACACCTTCTTAAATTTCATTTACATATTTTAAAACGTATTTCACTTTGTTTCTGAAAATACACACCTTCATTTTATATTTTTTTAATTTATTTAAATTCTTCTCTGTAAACTATGTAAATAGTTCAAATATCACATTTTCTTGTTCCCAAATACCTTTCATTTCATATTTTTTGAATTTTATTTTAATTGCTTCAAACAGATTTCATACTTTTACTGATTATTAAATAAGAATATTATTTTGTAATGATTATGAAATTAATAATGATGATTATTTATTTATTTTGGTTTGTTGATTATTTATAATTAGGAATCTTAACAAGCGGTGTGGACGATGTTTCCAAAGCAATCCGCCGTTTCACCGTTGTCAGTCTGCGCAGTTTCGGATTTGGTAAAACTGACATGCAGAACATCATCCTCAATGAAGCGGATCTGCTGGTTGAAGAATTCCAGCGTACCAACGGATCACCCTTCAACCCGCGCAACGCTCTGACGACAGCAACGGCCAATATCATGTCCGCGCTGCTGATTGGTAAACGCTTCGACCATGAGGAGGCGGGGTTTAGCTTTATTAGTGAGAAGATGAGTCAGGCGTTGAAGCTGGTCAACACGACTATGCTGGTCAGCGCATTTCCTTGGCTGCGCTTGTGGCCGCACAAAGACTACCGAGTGTGTCTTGGGAATTTTCGCGATACCAAGACGTTTATTCGCGGACTGATCAAGTAGCACGATACGACACGGGTGCCGGGGAATCCGCGGGATTTCGTGGACGCTTGGTTGGATCATGGCGAATCGGATAAAAGTACCAAGAATATGTTCTCGCGCGGTCGGCTGCTAGCGGTGTTGATTGACCTATTTGGTGGAGGGTTCGATACGAGCGCAACCACCTTGCAATGGTAATTATCATTTTCATCGCATTAGTAACTTTTACCTTATAGTGCCCACTTATATGGCCTAGACTCCAACTCTGACTCTGATTCTGACCGCTCAAACTCTGACTCTGTGACTCTGACTACTAGTCTGACTCTGACCGCTCAAAGTCTGACTCTGACTCTGAAGGTTTCTTAGGTTTCTTAGGTTTTTTAGGTTTCTTAGGTTTCTTTGGTTTCTTAGGTTTCTTAGGTTTCTTTGGTTTCTTTGGTTTCTTTGGTTTCTTAGGTTTCTTTGGTTTCTTAGGATTCTTAGGTTTCTTAGGTTTCTTAAGTTATTCTTAGGTTATTCAGTCAGAGTCAGAGTTTGAACAGTCAGAGTCAGAGTTTGAGCGGTCAGAGTCTGAGTCAGAGTCAGAGCTTGAGCGCGGGCCAACTTATATATACAGCATTCAAGCGAACGCTAATCTTATTAAGCTGTTGACATACTGTAGGTAGCTTTCAACTTTGGCTAATTTCGACAACTGTTTGCTTTAGTAATCAGAGAACAACTTGGAAGCGGTACTTTAATTTAACAGCAAATTAAGTACACTGTTGCTTGAATTAGACAGTCATATCAGTGTTTCGATTTAATTTGTCCCTAAGCCGACCATTATCACTATAGTTAGACACCGTATATCAAAGTGCTACAATTGTTTTGTGAGGTAACTGAACGTACACAAAGGTTACCGCTTACTCTCCAGGGCTCTTTTGCTACTGCTCCACCATCCCGATGCCCAGGACCGTATTCACCGGGAAATAGACGAAGCCGTGGAGAAATCCCAGCACATCACTTGGGAGGACCGCGACAAACTGCCCTACACGGAGGCCGTCATGTGGGAGACGCTGCGGCTGTATCCGGTGTTCCTCTTCACCGCACCGCATCGGTCCACGGAAACAGCGACAATCGGCAACTATGAATTCCCGCCCGGCTCTCGCATCATGTTCCACCTGTTCTCCATACATCGGGATCCGGAGTTGTGGGAGGCACCGGATGATTTCCGACCCGAACGCTTCTTGGAGAACGGTAAACTGAAATTACCCGATTTCCATGTGGCGTTTTCGGCCGGACGGCGCTCGTGTATCGGGGAGCAGTTGGCGCGGAAGGAAGTGTTTCTGCTCTTTGCCAATTTATTGCACAACTTTAAAGTAATACTGCCGGCAGGGAGTAAACAACCCGGTCCGCTCACCATGAACCGGGGGTCACGCTACAACCGTCACCATACGACATGGCGGTTCTCTCTCGGTGATAATTTATTCAACTGAATTAAAGCATATTTAGCCAAAACATTTACACTGAAAGGTTACTCTGAATCATTGCATACTGCTCATGATACATATACTCGAAATAACTTATTTTTTTGCAATGTTGTGCGCAGTTCTGTTTAACTAGAATAATAAACCGGAAGATTAAGCACACAATCGTGATTTGCTGCGGTTAATTCCTTGATGATAAGAACAGTAATCCATTTGTATTATTCACTGGGATTAATATGGTTTTGTGACTTGTCAGAGTGCCCCCCATTGTATGGTGTGTTGAGGCCGCTCAGCCTGAATCAGTTCAGTTAGTCAGTGACGATGCATTAAATTTAATTTCAGTTTAAATATAAATAATGATAACTTCCGCTGTTATTTCTTTGATATTGAGCAGCGGTTGATCTACGCACAGTTTTGATGCCGACACATTTCGTCTTTGAGACAAGTAGCTTATCAAGCTTAACAAAGCAGTCCCAAAAACAAAAGAAAACGTACGTAGACTTTGGAAAAATAAGGAACAAAAGAAAAAACATAAAAACACATAAGAAAACATGTGAATATATAAGAAACCTATGAAATCCAAAACCCGGAAAAAAACGAGAAATCTGAGAAAGCAAAGAAAACTAAAACAAAAACGAAAAAAAAACGAGAAACGGAGAAATTAGAAAAACTAAAAGGCTTTTAGAAACCAAGTGTATCGAGTTTTTTGCGGCGAAATGTCCGCGGTCAATTAGCTTATGACATAATGTCGGAAAGAAAGAAGTCTCAATTCTAAATTTCCCAAACGGTCAAAACCGAAATGTCCCAGTGTCCGGATGTTCTGCGGCGAAATGTTTTCGAGGCCAAAATTCGAATGCGAATTTGAGCGCGGCAAAATGTCAACTGTAGAAGGTGACTGTAATGACCAGAGCGTGTGCCACTGCACACGCTGCGTGTGTTACAATAAGATCACGCCAATAATTCATTCACCAGCTGATCGCCACTTACCGATTAGTCGCTACTCATTGTGCTCATTCTAGTCCGTTCTTTTCAACTCGTCTATCCGATTTATGCACACCACTTGGTCATCGCCCAGTTTCTTCCAGGGAAGTTTCCTTTGTGTTAACTATCCAATAGAAAATGGAAACCGAAGTGACTGTGAGCGTTAATCGCCAATGTTTCTCCGCTGGCGACCGCATCATGTCCTGCGACCCGATGGTGTGGATGCTGGAGAGGAGCGCTTACAAAACGCACTGCGCTTACTGCCTGCAGACCAGCCCGGGACTGCGCACATGCTCGGGATGCCAACTGCATCGCTACTGCAATTCGGCCTGCCAGGTACGGAAATACTGTTATCCTAAAATTTACGTAGTATAAACCAGAAAAACATAAAGAAATATTAGCTACGGATGCCAGGCTACAAAAACGCATGGGGTATCGCGAAGTGCAGGTGTTGCGGCAGAGGATTGCAGCAAGCGATGACTCTTTGCCCCATTTTAATTTGTGTAAACCATTACCTCATGACGTAATTTCATGGAACGACTGGATACAGGTCGCTGACTGGAAAGTGGAACATAAACTGGAATGTGCCCTGCTCAAGGAGATCGGCAGACAGGATCCGATTGATGTGGCTGAATTGATGCGCGGACTACCGGGTTGTCCAACATCAGCCCGCTTCTCCGTGCCCGCAGATACCCTTTACGTCGTCTTTGATCTGATCCCGAAAGTGGCCAATAAAATTGAGGTAAACAATACTGTACTCACTGTTTGGCTGCATCAGAATCCTGGCGTCTGTCGGGACGCGCATGAATATGGAGGACGCTCATGCGACCGATTTCCTGGGAAGATTCCGCTAGGATTCGGAAGGTTTATTGCATTGTATCCCCAAAACCTCATGTTTGTTCCTAAGGCCGTAGCGAGCTCCGAGGGATGAGGTAGGCGCAATTTGGCCGTGCCAGTTGCGCCCGCTTTGAAGCTCCGTTTGCGCCGAAAACGCGTCATAGTCTACCCCATCGCTTGGATCTCGCTATGGCCTTGTGCCCCTGGTAATCATCAAAGAACGTACATGTTAATGTAGGTGTACTATTAACTGCTCTTTTCCTGCTACTGCACCTCAAAGTAATTTGCTGCAGATCAAAGTTTTAACGTTGAAGTTTAACTGTTTTTAACACTTGGGCGCAATACCAAATGCTCCCTTAAAAATCACATAATTATGCGCCCACGCCCCTGTACAGTAACTGGCCGGAAGGGGGAGTGGTGGAGGGTGGACGTTCAATGAAATCGCATCCATCTTCCTGCCAAAATCCGGCAAAATGGTGGACGAGTCATCTACCGGTACCAATCTGCCGAGCCAACCCATCGGCGCCGACTGATATAACAATGATCCCCTCGAAAGCATTCAGGCTCATTGCGAGAGGTCGTCGAGGTAGTGACGTCGCCGAGCAGCTCGTGAGCTGGCTTTTTCCACACAGACGTTTCTAAAAATATCTGTGTAAAAAAATGGACTCCCCGGCTCCTCCCGTTACAGCTACTGCACTGTTTGTTGATAACTGTAGTACTGTAGTCACTTACGTGTGAGCCCTTGAGTTACTTGTCATATAGCAGACAGACTGCAACTGTACCCTGCACAGTAGGCCGAGTATGTACAAGAAAGTACAGAATCTCTATTAAATTTTAAATTTTGAATATGGTATGGCGAGAGGATTCGAACTAAAACGTTTGCGAGCTGTAATCCTAAAACAATCCAAGACTCCAAATGATACCCGCGACCTCGCCGTAATTCAAACTGGGTTGGTGATAACTAATTGGTTATATCACATTTCATTTTCCTATAAACATATAAGATGCTGATCCAGATCCGCTGTTCAAGTTTGTGATGATTCCTTTCAACTGAATTGAGTCTAGCAATTCTTAGCGTAAAATTACGTTCCGATATTGCTGTGATCCTCCAGAAGAACGCAACGATGGACGTTCCGGGGATGGGTCGGAAATCTGTCCGAGACCTTCTGCTATCGATGCCGTCGAATCCCGTGCAACCGGATATCGAACTGCTGATACAACGCGAGTACGCCATTAAATTTTGCTAACGTTGTTGCTCCGTATTCTTAGTGGTTCCTTGCTTCGCAGGTTGGCCGCTGGGGCAACCGAAGTTCCTCCTATGGACTTCATCACTTATTGCGGAATCCTCAGCCATAATAGTGTGAAAATACACGATTCGCTCAACCCCAGCGCACCCATCGGCAGAGCGCTGTATCCACAAGCACCACGAGGACGGATGACGCCGGTGTGTTGGGATGCCAATGTGGCGCTAAATTGCCGCGGACGACGGCTGGTTATCCATGCCATGGAGGATATTCCGCGCTTTACTGGATTACAAGATGTAAGCAGCTTAAAGCGCTACATTACGAGCCAAAGCCCAGTTAACGTCTTGATCCAATTGCAGTTTAAATTAAGTTATTGAAACAAATTCAAAGTTCATGAAAAAGGATGCAGTTCTGTTTGTTCCAGATGCGATACAACGATATGGTAGAACCATTCTGTCTATCCAGAACCCAACGCCGGGCTCAGTTTGAGTGGTTCCTCCGATTTCCATGCACATGCCGTAAATGCACGGAAGCCTATGTACGGTAGCAAGGGCATTAGCATCTTTCGGCGTAGGTGGTAACGAGATCTCGGTCTGTATACTTTTAGGATGGCGACATCAATCCGCTACAGTGTGCAACAGTCGGTTGCAGCAATCGAATCCCGGGCGATACCCGTGCACTGGGACCTTGCTCGGAATGTGGCGCCATCAATAGTCACCGGTTGATGCAGTTGCGCTGGTTCATGCAGCAGCATCAGACCATCGCAACCAGCTGCCCGCGAGAACTACAAACAGCGAAGATCATGCAGCTGTGCAAAGAACTGGACGCTGCTGGCATCCTGCAGCCGGATGCGCATTTCCGTTATATCTGCGGCTGGGAGTTGGCACTGCAGTATTACAACGAAAACCGCTTCGAAGATGGCTGGAAGATGATGCAAGGATTTATAACCTGTGCCCGGTAAGTAGGCAATTATGGGTGTCTATTTATTAGTAGTACCTGCATACCTGAAGTCTTACAGGCAAATACCGTTTACTTGTACGCTACCACAAAAATTCGGTAACGCGCGCTTTTCCTGTTTGGTCTTTATTTATGTTTTACAAATGAATTACATTCAAACATCAGTTAAATACTGTAACTGAATGAATCTAATTTCTGTCGTTATTCTGATGATGGCAATCTTTTCTAGAAATGTTTGTCCAAAGTATGCAGTTTTTCGCGCTGCTCTACTCATATCTGTTGGACTGAAAACTGCAGAAGCGCTGGAAAAGCACGTCTTGAGAGCTGTTAGAAAGCTGTCGAAACCGGCGAAGCAAGAGCTGGAAACACTGGCTAGTCAAGTGTGTCGTCTTATTCAGGATTATGCTCACGAAGCAAGCAATATTTTTGCTGTGCTGTTTGGTAAGAAGTCGCAGGAGGCCCACACAAACGATAATGCGATGAAGCACCTGGCTTCAACGGTACGCTGCATTAAGCAGGCTTTTCGCGGCAGGAAGTAACCAGCATACTTTAAGGTCTTCTTCTGTCATGTTTCTTGCGTTTTCCTCTGTTACATTAATCCGAATGGTGTTTGGTTTCATCGATTTGGTTTGACTAGACCATTCTGAGGTTTTTGGTCTACACTCTTACAAGTGGCTGATGTTATCAACTAAACGGTATTTTATTGCTTTGTTTATTTTGTAACTTTAATGGAACAAACAGGACAACTTTCGTTAATATGCTCACAGCACACGATGAACGTAAACATTTGTGAGGGTGGGAATGGGATTTTGGTACAATTAATGAAATCAAATTGCCCATTTTTTTACAGGTGGTGACAATTGTGAGTGTAGCATTATGTAGTCAGTGTAGCTGAATATGTGAGGACAAGCACAGCATTCATCAGAGCACCGCTGCCGTCGGTGCTGTGATGAATGCAAATTCTTCCCTACAGCATGTTTGCATCTCCAGCACGCCCTTTTATTTTAAAATCATGTTGGACTTTCATTGCTCTTACAACCCGGCCGCAGTAATAAACGGTACTGCGAAAATCGTCTCTCATACAAGGCGGGCTACATTAACCACTTTGCGTTAACGGTTTCAGAAGCACAGGGCAAGTTTATTTGGTAATTCGGTTACTAAGGCCAAGAACAGGAGGTTAAGAAATAGTTCTGTTGAGATTCTGTTGTAGAAAGATGATTTATTGGCAATAGCCGCCCAAATAACAAAAAATGCACGCGCTGACACCCTACGTAATCGTTAGAATTTAAACATTAAAAAAACAACCAAATTCCCGGTCCTCCCTCGGGTTAAAAGGTAACGTGCTCAAAACAGCCGTAGCATTTCCCTTAACAACAGCAAGGCTGAATCGCTGCTTAAGAAAAGCAGTAGAACGTGCTTCTCCAGTTAAATCCCGAATTTTGTGACCCAAAGAATGTGACAGTTCACTTAAAGCCGAACCAAAACTCCAAGGGTTTCCATTACTAGAGGGTAAAAGCTATCCGTATTCCAAAACGAATACTTCCCACGCTTCGCATTTTCAGCCAGCTGGGCCACGCTGCCACATTTCTTGGAGCTTCCAGTGACATGAGAGTCAGCAACCGTACACCAGCTGGTTACATCCCAAACGATCGGTTTTCCTTGTCTTACTGGTATCAGTGTCATCCCATCCGGTCTTTGTGCGGTGGTTGATGACAAGCCGTTTGGTTCCATCTCACAAGGAAAACCAGCGCTTTCACAACAGTTTTTCGCGATGCTGTTCATTTCTTTATGTCTCGCCCATCGTCCTTTAGTCGTTTTGTTGCAGGATAGTCCATGATGGCCGTTGCTTTCGACTTGTTGTAGAAATAGATAATAGTTGTTGTGGCCTGTTATCCGTTGGTGTGGGTTCTAGAGCGCAGCGCCTACAAAACCACGCTGCGCCTGTTGCTACCACGACATTGAAAAACTGCGCACTTTTCATGATGTAAACTGCATCACTATGGTAACACTACGTGCCAGGTACGATAAAAAGATCGCTTAAACGGAATACAATCTAGAACATCATAAAATAGTCCTGGACAACTAAAGACCGAGCCTCTCGCCAGGGAGCTTTAGCGGCACTTTAACGTCTAACAGAAACGAGAGTCTGCGTTGCAAGTGCCGCAACCATGTATTGATTTTCCCACGAATAATGTGCTCCGAACCGGTCTAACCTTTAATGCAGGACGAAAAAAATTGTCCTATGATTCAGTGCAAGGTCTGGAATGTCTGCTTTTGTCAGCAATATGGCGACAATTGTTACCACGGGCGGCGGCGGTGACGGGCCCATGACATCATTTCAGGGGCACCTACATACGTATAGGTGCTAGTAATTGCTTTGTGGCCGCTGACTGGAAGATGAAGCATAACCTGGCCGCGGCGCTTGTGGGTATAACGCTAATCCGATCAGAGGTGAACGGAGCCTGTCAGTGTGTCGTAAAGGGCTAAGTATTATAACTTAAAAGTTCATGCGTAGTGCGGTCTATTTCCTAATTTTCGATTTAAACTTTCTGTAAGGAGTGTGAATTGCGATTATGTGCGCACTGTACTTGCTGTACACTGGGTACAGATATTACAACTGCACACTGATTTGAAATGTTTAATGGTTTAACGTTCGCACGCAATCTTGGGGAAACCCAATCCGAGGCAGCGGACTAGTCATAAGCAGAAAAAGAACAGCATCAAAATAGGTACTCAAAATTCAACAACAACAACAATTTACATATCCAACAGAACGCGCTGTTCAGCATGATAAAACTTTTTCAAGGACACCACAGACTTCCAGTCTGCACAATTCAAAGCTGCAGTGAAGCCACCAAGGCTGTTATAAGATTGTGCTGGAATTCGCAAATCTTTCCAAATCCTTGCCATCCGATAGGAAAAATATCTCTCCGATGGGGGGAGCTTGTGTCCACAAAATGTTGATCCAGTAGGGACAATCCGGCACGGATGTTCAGCCATCTTCTGTTGATGACGCGTAGAACCTGCAACACCAGAACGAACAGCAGTATCTTTATAGAATAAATTTTCACCATATGGAATTAAGCCGAACAAAAACTTGTAAGTCAGCTGGAGACTACGCATTAGGTTACGCCTTACGATCGGTTCCCATTTAAGCTCTTTAAGTCTGCCAACGTAGTCGCATCTGAGGCTTTTAAGGTGGAGCGACCTAACAAATCTTCTTTGAACGTTTTCGATGTTGTCAATTAGCTGTTTTTGGGCGGAATAGGTGACAGGCGCACTTTGATCGGAGACAGAGAGAACGAGACTGGTGTACAGTACACAACGTGCTGATAAATCGCGGGCACTAAACAACGTATTAAGATATCGCAAACGCTTTAGCATTCTCCTGTTACATTTTCACAGTACATTTTCCATTTGTGACTGCGGTCTAAGTAGATTCCTAAATATCTTGCAGAATTACAAGTAACTACGGATATGTTCTCCCCATTTAGCTGATAAAATTGAGGTGATTTTGCACGAGACGAAAACCTAATACATGCTGATTTCTTCGAAAATCTGAATACTTCATGAAAAATGGCCATCGAAATGGCATAAAGCGCGAGCACCGTGCCGTACCGGGTGGTTCGTACCGTACCGAGTGATCCCACAAAATGGCTGTCGCTGTTTTACTAAGATGCGCTAGGTCGGCTCAGTGCTTGATTACAAAATATGATGCCGGTATGCTGGGGTGTCAATGTGGTAATAATTACTAATAAACCGCCGCTGCCGTCGGTTCTTCGTCCAAGCTGTGGAAGTATTCCAGATTAAAAATGATTATCAAACGTCCTTCGACTTCGAAATGCGCGGTCACCGCCACCGAATTAGAATCCATCCATCAAGAACGTACAGTAATAAAAGTTCCGTTCGTACGCATGATAGAACTGGAGAACTAAATACCCGCCACTCGAGAGATAACCTTAGCGGCACTTTTAACGTCTAACGGAAACGAGAGTCTGCGTTACAATTCCCCGCAAGAATGTATTCATAATCAGTCGCAGACGTTTACTAAGATGCCAAGCGAAACTGCAGGTCGCGCATCACTGAACAGCTTTAGCAGAGCTAGTTGTATGTTCGGTCACATGCTATTCAAATGGGACTATAAATGTCAGGTTAGACTAATGAAATGAGAACGAACGCAGTTTGCATTGGTTGTATCTTAAAATGGTTTTCAAAATCTTCACTATGTAGCTAGTGCACAGCGTTGGATAAGAAGGCCCAGTGGGATACTGAGCTTCTCTTCACCGGCCGTACTGCTCGTACTGTAGGCATCGTGAATTTAACATTATCGAAGCCAACGCCTAATCGCCTAGGGTAGTACCGATAGTCGAAGGAATTCTCTGGCTCTTATTATCGAACATATACACAGTATTACGCACTACCTTACACCGTTAGATCCTTGACCTTTCGTTATTCAGTAAGTAATTCAGTTAAGGTAGGGCCATTTCGCAGTACGTCAACTGCTCTAGAGTCTGAATCGCCTTCTTGCCGCACACTGCAGTCCGGGATAGCCTATCCTGTAGCCAATCTTGCCGTAGAACGCGCGGAGAGACAGTTTTTATGTCGTCCATTTGGCCCTGCATCGTGCTAAAAAAAAGAAATCGAAGAATGCAAAGTAATCTTAACAACGTAGCCTACTGCTTAGTGCGCCGGTGTGGATCTCTGAAAAAATGCATCCTCCTTCGAATCTATAGAACAGATGCCTGCACGAGGTGGCGGCGGTTCTCTTAATGGACTATGTCAGGCACCCATTTCATTCGAATTGTTGTTTCAGACCAAATCTGACTACTGCATAATATCAGCGAATTTTTCTGATCTAGAAGAACCCAAGAAATGTAATATTGGAAAACCCAAGAAGCTAGAATCTCTTCCCCTGAACACGGGTACCTTGCCACCCAACCACGTGGTGGTTGCCTTGTGTCGGGAAAACTGCTAAAATAATGTTTTCGGAAGCAAAAAAACCCAGAGAATTTACTTAATGGCCTAGAACTCACAAGGCAGTTTTTTGGAAACATTTTAGCATTTCAGAATCTGAAGCTTCCTTCTAGAAAACTGCCTAATCAGAATCGTACTCTGTTAGCATTGCTGGGCGCAATTTCGTCAAAATGGTAACTCTCCGGCTAGGTCGGTTTCACCAGATTTTTGACATGGTAGATCTATACGTAATACGGGAATGCTGCTTTTTAGGTCAGTCTTCAGCTTTGTATAAACCGTCAACAGCGTTACCAAATCCAGCACTTCATACCGCATTGAGCAGATTTGCTATGCCATTGACTGCTTTGCATATGTGCATATTGTTGCGGTGACCTTCCATAGCACTGCATGAACCAGCATAAATTATTCCACTAGGGCTGAAGAAATTATGATTTTTTTTACAGTGTCGAAACATGTATTCGAAACATTTACGTATTTGCGAAATTTTACGTAAATGTGTACCGGGGCCAGAGGCCGAGATTTTTCACTGGTCCATTGTACTAAAAATTGTACCAACCGGGATGAGAGCATTAAATAATCGAAGAAGAGTGCCCACAGTAAAAAGGGGTGCCAATCAGGACATGGTCCTGCTACGCTTCGGTCAAGCAGTGCCCGCATAAAGCGAGTGCACTTTCCTAGTAATTATTATTGAAAAGTTTATCGAAAAGAATAACTAACCTAAGTTGGTTAAAAATAATCATCGAACAGTTTATACTGGTCTGTACATCAACTATAGATACAAATTATTACAGTACAGTTTATACTGTCTGTACATCAACTTCTCTTCTCTCTCTTCTTATTGACGATGCCAGAGACTTACCGTTAGTAAGAATGAACGAAGAACGTTGTGCCGAGCGCTAGCAGCCGTTCCATATTTGCTGGCGAGCTTGTAATGTGGGACAATTCGAGTACAGTGGGCAACAGTACATATACTTCTACAGATTTGTCTGCTGACTAAGTCTTTAATACGCACAAGACGGAAGTATACAAAATTAATACACTGCATTCGTGGTACAACAATAATGTCGGTGCCGGTTGCCCTGATTCATCGCACCCTACAAAACTGAGAATCTGATGTCCGTACGTACGTTTTTGTGAATCATGCCACAAATTTTTCGTTCCAGCCGTGCTGACGCCGACAGCAGAGCGTGCAAGCGAATTAAAGCGTGCAGAGGCTGCTCATGCTCGATCATGTCGGTGCAGTCTGCATGATTCCCTAAGCCGATCCCCAATGATTTTAGTTTTTGCTCATTGTAGTCAGTTCATCCCAACTGGTTCTCTAAATTACTACACTAAGGCTCTGTTTTTTCAAAGGACATAGTTTGTCATCGATTTGTATTCAGTTACTGTATAAAGTGCAGTACAGACCACGGTGTTTCCATCGTGTACATCGTAACGCTCCACATGATAATGGACTTAAAGGAGGTTGTGCCGACCAGCGGTAGCCGTTGTTTATTGGCTGGCGAACTTTTGATGTCGTGCGACCCGATGGTGTGGATTCTGGAGAGAAGCGCCTACAAAACGCACTGTGCATATTGTTGGCAGGAAAGCATGGATTTACGCACATGTTCGGGATGTCAGGTACATCGTTACTGCAATTCAGCTTGCCAGGTACATTGGGATAGACAACCTGTAGTTCCTCTGCAGAGCTCTGAAAAGGCTGGTAAAAATTTAAGAAGATAGTTGCAATTCCGCATAAGCGTACAGGCAGCCTGTTCGATAGCAGTTTGTCAAACGTGTCGCTAATCAAATGGTCTGGTTGGAGCCAGGTTGCTGACTGGAAGGGGGAGCACAAACTGGAATGCGCCTTGCTGAAGGAGAATGATAGCGTGGACCTAGATCACCTATTAGATGAACTGAAGGCCGAGCCAGCGGGTTCCCGACCATCGGACACCGATCTGGAGTCGAGGCGAGGGCGTATTCCTGTGCTCTCTCTTGTCCTTGGATTGACCACGAAGCTGACCAACAAAATTAAGGTAAAATGTCGGTATTATCAGAAGACGAAAACCCATGTGTCATGCGGTCGTGTGAATTCAGCAGAAGCGTGTGTTAGAAGACCTTTGCGAGGGCAGGGTGCAAAACCTGGCAGTGGCACCTGCCACTAGCATGGCGAGCGATAAAACCTGGAGAATCTGGCAGCTGGCAAACGATAAAATGTGGCATTACAATTGCGTGAAAACCGTTTATAGGTGCAACGTCTGGTGGGAGAGAGAGAGAGAGTAATGGTAGAAAACATTTCAATAGTTAGAACGCACAAAAATACAAAAAATATACACGAGTTATACAAAAGTTTCATAATACAAAGATGAATTGTTTTCAAATTTTGACTGCAAAGGCCCATTACCCTGAGGATCACCGAGTCTGGTTTGCACTATTTGTTTCTAATTTTAATTTGAAATTTTAAAAAATATTGGAAGCTATGCTCGGCGTAGTAACAATCTTCATGGTAATGGGTGTTTTTATGGAAGATTTGAAAATCAATTTATAATGGGACTTTTGGTACACACCGGTAATTCCAGATTTTGCGTGCTCAAACGGTCTCCACGCCAATAAACACAACTCATTTATCTATAAAAATGCCATAAGAAACAGCCGAAAAGTGTTCAGGAGTGCACGGAAGCGAAAGCTACCGTACACGGTGCACGTATTCGTATACGAATTTGGCACCTCGTACCGGCACACTTCCGTTAGCGAGGGGCTTTCTCGTACACCTTCGCGTCAGATCAGCATACACCTGACGCTTCGAAAGAAATCAGCCACGATACCGGCGGTGGTTTCTCACAGATCTCTAAAATCCAAATCTTTACTTGGATATGCTTTCATTTTCGAAAACAATAGCTTAATTTCTGAACATTCTAATGTTACCAAATATATGATCTGACGCGAAGTTGTTCGGGAAAACCCCTTGTAAGTAGAAGACCGTAGCAAATTCTGGCAGTGACCTCCGGTTGATATCCCGGAAGTGAGCAATACGACCTTCGGTTTATACATAGTTTAATAGTGAAAATTTAGCTGGGCAAACTCAGAAACGTTCGACCTAATTTCGATTTGAATTTACGTGCTACTTCCTGTTGGCTGTGGTATTCACTACTACTACTACTATTCAGGGTATTTCCGACATGAGCTTCCCATGTAAATTGTCATGTCAGACTGATTTACTGAAGCATAAAAGGTGCAAACACAAATAAGATACGTACTTATCAAAATACGTACGCAAAAGCGGTATAATAGTAAAATACTGGAAACGCAGGCATGTGCAGACTAACCCGAATTTACTTTCAAATATTGGGACTATGGTCCTATCCATTATGATCCTATCCACCTTGATTGAGTCCACATTTTGTGAAATTAACGGTATTACGACAAAAGCCGGCATTATTACAGAAGACATTCTAAAAATAGCGTCATATTAAAAGTACGTGAAAGTCAGATGTGAACGTTGCAGCGCAATGATTTTAACATGACTATACTGTCGCATATCTGACATGTTTGGCGTTTGTTGGCGTTGAGGTACATCTGCCTGTGTCGTCGTTAATCATTATGCACATTGTACAACGCGCGAAATGATCAGATAGCAAAATAATAAGATAAGGGCAGCTGTTTGTAGGGCTACCCTTCAAATGCAAAGTTCGTTTATGCGATTACAGGGCGCCGATTTTTTGCAATAACAACAATGTTTGACCTGCACGCACACCAAACATGAGCCGAGCCGGCACCATAATGACCGGTTGTCTGTAGTCAAAACACAAATGTAGATCGCGGCACAAAAGCGGCTTTACTCATTATTAAATTAATATCCTTTTCCTTGCTGAAATTGTTTCGTGATGCTTTACAAGTTACAGCACTGTAGTTTTTCTTCTGGTCCGAAACGCATTCGTGGAGTATTACTCGGTATGTTCAATAAGCGTTATCTCTACCGTGCTGAACATTAACATTATTAATAAATTAATTTTATTATGGCTGTAAAAGTGTAATCATCAGGTCATATTTTATTATTACGAGGTAGTTTCGATTGGTATGGATGCAGTATAGATACGTATGGTTATTAATACTTGGTTTGTTTTTCTCAGTAAGCACTCCGCCAGTATAGTGCGGGCGGGGGGCTATGTAGCTATTTACGTATGATGTATGTTATAATTTCTGTTATTTTTATCATCGCTTCGACGTACTGGACAGTACATGCTTCATGCAAATTATTCAGGCAATATGTAGATAAGTTACAACTGTGCTGAAAAAACAGTAGACAACCAACAAAAAACAGTAAAAATTAAAACAGTACACTAATACTAAAATCGTAATACTAATGCAGTTTTGGACATAATCATAATGCCTATTTCCAGTAGTGCAACGTTATACAGTACGAATATTTTATTCATTCCCGAATCAGTCCACTGGAGAGTGGGAATAATGCAAACTGAAATTTATTGTATAGTTATGTATGAATAATTGTGCTTGCTGTATTGCAGTACTGTGCTGAATACGGCTATCCCAAAAATAATTGGTAAAACCAAATTTATAAACCAGTAAAACTAAACTTCACTCACTTCTTAACGTTCATATTCCCAGCCGTTCTCATAAAATCTTATCAGATTTGTTTTCAGTTGGACAGAAGTGTTTAATTGCTGGAGTTAACTTACGGCAGCCATCACAAGTTAAACCACCAAATGAGTGTGCGGAGCAAACTAAGAATTCATTCATTTAGTCAACCGTTCTTGATTAACCGAGTAACGTACTCGTATCACACAGCGTCACGCTCAACTGCAAGGCATATTCCAGCGGTTTTCCTTACAGATCTGGAAGTGCCATGATTGTACTTGCAACGCGCCTAGTGATTCTGTTTTTCGTTTGCGTTACTTTGTGCAAACGGCGAAATGCAGTGTGACCTTTTGAAATTGTGCATGCCGGTATGACTTTGTGTATCTCCAGTAATGGTTTTAACACGTTACATGTAAAGCTGACGGTGCACTGGCAAGATTTTAAAAGTTATGCTGTTGACCAAACACTCGAACCCGCTCATATTTTCTGTGCCATATTTTCTGTAGCATCTGCCAGCTTTAACCGTTTGCCAGTTGCCAGAATCTCCAGGTTTTATTGCTTGCCATGTCATTGGCAGTACCATTGGCAGGTGCCACTGCCTGGTTTTGCACCCCGCCCCTTTGCGAGCCATGGTAGACCCGCGCCTTCGTACAGAAATAATAAGTCTCTCATTCAGAAGAGTGAGGTCTGTGGTTCCCTAACATGAGACAATTTATTTTCTATGCATGCGTAAGCATTACTTAGTACGATATTGTTGTATGGTGCGTTTATTGCAAATCTCAGAATCTGCAATGGTTTTCTAGAAGAACACGATGATAGACATCCCGGGAATGGGCTCGAAATCTGTCAAAGATCTTGTTCTCATGATGTCGGAAAATCCCCTGCAGCCAAACATGGATCGGCTGATGCGGAAGAAGTAATTGATACTTGTCAACGCAGAAGCGTCCAGCCATTTATTACATATTAATTTATGGCACTTCATGCTTTGCAGTTTATCCACTGGGGCAGTTGATATTGGTACCATGGGATACATGAATTACTGTGGATTAATCACTTATAATGGTGTGGCAATTTACGACTACGACGCGCTGACCCTCCGTCCTTGCGCAAGGATCGGATTAGCGCTGTATCCACAAGCGCCGCTGGGAAGGATGACGCCGGTGTGCTGGGATATCAACGTCGTGCTGAACCGCCGCGGACGACAGCTACTCATCCATGCCGTGGAAGACATTCCGCATTTTACTGGACTTCGAGATGTAAGGGCATAGTCTTGTACAATCTGGTGTTTTAGTTTAAACTGCGACTTTTTTCGTTCATTGTGTACAGTACACTCTTTCAGCTGCGTTATAACCATTTGGAAGAATCCTTTCGCATGACACGAGCGGAGCGACAGGCTAAACTTGAGAAGCTTCGCCGACATCGGTGTTCTTGTTCCAAATGCACGGAAGCTTATGTAAGTTATCAGCAGCTTTAAAAGGTACCAGCGCTTTACAGCTTAACGCTGGTCCAATTTTTAGGATGCCGACATCAATCCGTTGAAATGTGTTACGGTCGGATGCATCAACGGAATTCCAAGCGACAGCCGTGCATTAGAAGCTTGTTCGGAATGCGGTGCCGTGAACGGTGAACGTTTGGCTCAGTTCCGTCGTTATATGGACCAGTACGATACCATCAGCAGCAGATGTCCGGAGGAGTACCACTTGGCCATGATCATGCATCTGTACAAGGAGATGGACGCTGCGGGCATATTGCAGCCGAATGCGCACTTCCGGTATGTCTGTGGCTGGGAAGTGGCGCAGGGTTTTTACGATAATAATCGCTTCGAAGATGGTTGGAAGATGATGCAGGGATTTGCAGCCTGTGCACGGTAATTGAGGCACTTGCCGATTCCGATTTTAACTGCGGTCGTAAACTACAGTGACTGCATGTTTCGTCTTCAGGAAGGTTTGTCCAAAGTATGCAGATTTTCGCGCTGCTCTGCTGATTTCCGTTAGCCAATTTACCGCAGAAGCGCTGGAAAAGCATGTCCTGAATGGTAGTTGTAAGGTGTCCGGACCGCTCAAGCCAGTTCTGGAAACCCTGGCCGCTGAAGTGTACACTCAAATTTTGGATTATACTTGCGAAGCTAAGAATGTTTTTGCTATGTTGTTCGACAAGCAGTCGAAGGAATTCCAGATGAGCGATTCTGCACTGAAGCAAGTGGCTTCGTCGGTATGCCGCATTGAGCAGGCTTTTCGCGACAGAAAGTAACTACGTTTTTTACAGATACACGATTTTGCTTCTGTTAAGGTGTTAACTGGTGGTGTTTGGGAAAACTTCATTGGGGCGCTTGGTGTTGAAGCTTTGAACAGATAATTGTTGTCCGATCCTCGTAAATGATTGTTTTAATCCTTTTATTAAGTAACTGTTGACGGAACAAATTGAAAAATTATTTGTTAATGCGTACGTTACGGAAGTAGACTCCATGTGAATATGGAATGGGATTATCAAGTAACCAAAGTTTGAGCAATATCCGTTGTGACAATAAATAAAGATACACATTACTGCAGTTACTACTTTCATTTGTACTGAAGTTACTAGTTACTGAAGTTAGTAGTTTCATTTGTACGAGTACTTTATATCCTACCTACAGAAGTGGCTCATCGAGGAACAACATCAACAGAAGTTGAAACGTTTAACATCAACTTCGGTAGTTTAATTTTGAAATTTTTCATGTCAACAACAGATATCTGCAAAACCGTGCGAATACTTCGAATTTAAAACGTCATCAGTATTACTATTCGCGCACAATAAACGATTACCAAACACCTAAATGTTTTCAACTGGAACAATTTGAAGTGAACCCAAAAATTGTGCATGTCGACCACCATTGTCTGATGTGACATTGATTACGTTTTGTTTTATTTATCGTTAGTATTTTGTCTATTATGTATATATATTAGGAATTATGCATTATTTATGTTTTGGAAGCGGTAGTCTAATGGTAAGTCCTGGTACAGGAGCAATCCTAATTGTTGTAGACGTTAAGCACAATAACAAAACAAAAATTCCGAATAAATCATGGCTTACCGCTAAAGGCACAACGTCACTATGGCGCATGCAAAATGGCGGCAACGACACAGTGCAATGCGTTCATTTCTTCGACCCTGGTACTATTATTAATTTCTATCGAAAACTTGATCTTTACAGATGGTGTTTGTTGGGGTGACTAGTATGGCATCGCTCTGCAACGTCTGTTTTGCACAGAGTTGGGCCGGCCCTGCCCAGGGCCGCGGCCCGGGGACACGTCGGGCCGAAGTGAAGGACGGTCCAGGCCGACCCAGCACTAGTTTTGCACCATGAAAAACATCGCAGTACTTTAACACGTTAAAAGACAGACAAGCGGAAGTGGTAATCACATGCAGAAACAGATACTCGGGCACCGCGACACTTCGTCACGGGCAATTTACAGCAGGAAATTTGATCGCATACATTTCGCCACAAGGTCATCACGCCGCTCGACAATTTGTCGCGGGACATTTAGTCGGCAGGACATTATGCCGCAAGATGTTCGTCGAAAGGCCGTCTCGACGAAGAGCTATTTGATCTACCAGACAAAAACTATAATAAAAGGGGCTGGCGGCTGCTCAGCTCAGCACTCCCTGTTCTTGCTGCCGTCAGCTGACTTAGGGTTGTCATTACGTCATCACACGCTATCACAATCACGCCGATTTCTTGTTCCCAGTCCCATCATGCCGAAGAATCATGGCTGTGATAATGTGATGGGTGAATGATGGGATGGGGAAGTGATGGGATGGTTTCTCACTGCCCGAAAATATGTATTTTAGTGCCAAATTATTGTGCTTCAGTTATTCCGCATAACTTTTGCGCGCTACAAACTTTTTTTCCTTTAAAAATTAGGCGAGCGGTGCCTGGGGAAAGCTTTATACGGAATACCTTTAGCATTTTCGTCATTACGGTATGCTACGTCACTTCCACCACAGTCCGTTTGATTTGATTGATAATGCCTTTCTCCGTTGTGCTACTGCTAACTGTCTTTACAACATTTATACTCTATGAAAACATTAAAATGATTTTTTGTTCGAAATATAATTCATTGAAATTCATTTTATTTTCTTCCCACCAATCCCACTATTCCCATCACTTCACGTTCACAATCCCATCACATCCCACCTAAAAAATCAGGGTGGGATGACAACCCTTAGCTGACTGGAGTTTTACGTTGAGGCTAAACATGGTGCTGATGTACCGCGCCTGATTTAGCCGTATGTGTTGCCGCAAGGCCGTACTCCGGCCGGGTGACGACAGCAAAGAAGAAAACCTGATGAACCGGTGCGAATTAAACGTGTCGATTTCATTAGCTGTGAATTTTCAGCCACCAGACGTCGTGCGTCAAAATGTCGCAGACGTAAAGTTAGTAAAATGTCCTGAAGCAATATGTCTCATTAAGAGTCGTCGTTGTCGACTTTGTGGTATGTACGTAGTAACATAAAGCATAATAACAGCAGCAGCAGTATTGGCGAAAACCTGATAGAATTTTTTAAGGTACACGGTATTGACGGATGACGGAGGATCTTGTTGTACAAGTATTTACAATGACGTAAGTTGGGATACTGAGCAAATGTTGAGTACTGGTATAAACAGAACTGGTTGACTTGTTTTTTTCAAAATTGCGAGTTGATGATCTTACCGCCTAAGAGAAGACAAACCGGTACATACAGGACTTCTTACTTGGTGGTGGTATTAAGGAAGATAAACATAATTATCTTTTGGTTCAGAAACGTGCTTTTAATACTAGCGCGCATTCATAGTAAAGAAAATTTATAGTGCAGTCTTGATCCCTGGTGCTACTGTGGAATATGGTCATGTATTACGTACGTACAAGTACTGCGTCGGTGCCGGTTCCAGCGTAGTTGAATGCGACTGCGACTGGGCACTGCAGACGCAGTCGAATTTCAACAGTTTGATTCAAGTACTCTGTACTAGTAAGGTAGAGCAAAAAATCAGAACGTGATGCGCATGCGTATAGGCATGCCTGATCTTAAAGCAGTCGGTATGATTCACCGGCCAATCACCACTTCACCGATGTAGTACATGAGTGTTGAAGTTTTCCAGTCTCGTCCAGTAAGCACGCACCACTAGGATTTTATTTCACGACCCTCTAATTATTCTTAATGGTTTTCCCTTACAGTTACCGAGTATTTCCTTCTTATTGAAGATTCCAGTGATATAGTGAAAATGGAAGCAAAGAACGCTGCGCCGAGCGTTAGCAGCCGTTCCATATTTGCTGGCGGGCTTGTCATGTCATGTGATCCGATGGTGTGGATGCTGGAGAGGAGCGTTTACAAAAGGCTCTGTGCCTATTGTCTCCAGGAGAGCCTTGAACTGCGCACATGCTCAGGATGCCAGATGCATCGTTATTGCAGTGGCGCTTGCCAGGTAAGATCTATTCGTTCTGCAAACAGCAGAACTGTAAAATACCGTAGCACGGGTGCAGTTATAAAAGCGAGATGATTAGTTACAAGTCAAGTCCCCGTATAATCGTTCTAACAAATCTGAAGGTTACGCATAGTAGCAGCCGCCATCCTGACAAGGGATGATTCTGCTTGACTACAACCTGTAAACGTACTACATATTAAAATTACGTATTGTTTGTTCGGCTCAGCTCGCTGATTGGAAGGTGGAGCATAAACTGGAATGTGCAATGATGAAGGAGATGAGCGTACACCTTAATGAACTGATGGATGAACTGACGGGCGAGCCAGCGGTTTCCGGGCCATCGGGCCGTGTCCACTCATCCAGGCGACCAGATGTCCCCTTTGCCGCGGTCTTCTTTTGTCTGTCCGCAAAGCTACTGAATAAGACTAAGGTAAGAATTGGTATTTTCAAAAACGGGTATTTTTGTTGGTGTTTTCGTATGGTGAAAATTGGTATTGAAATTCTGTATTAAAAACTCGCACATATTTGTGTTGGTATTTTTTATAACGTGTGGTCGTGTGACTGCACCCTGTATGAAATGCTGGGTACCAGCTCCATAGCTAGACATTTTTTTTAAAGACCTGTTATCTTTTCTCTTATCCGTATCGATAGATACATGTTACTTTCGAAATAATTTGCTAAGTTATGGTCTCGATGGAAGCATTAAACTGTTTGATACGTCATCACTTTCGCGATGGCAGGAAAGGTTGGTTTCGCCTTAGGTAGTTTGCTTCGAGCGAGACATCAAGATTCAACGATTAAGATTTCCACAAAGGCACATTAATTTTTGTGTGACGTCCGAAGATGACTGTTAGGGTTTTTCTAATTTCACGCTCACTGTTTCCACTCGAGTGTGATTTCAGCGCGCTCGATGTAAGTGGTAAATAAACACCGCCAGTATGTACCGTAAAAAACATAATGACTGGTGCGCTTGAGGCTAACATGCTCAGATTCAGGATATGTACAGTATATGACTTCGTATTTGGTTCAAGACAAGGCAGCCAGGAAGAAATTTGCTGAAGCATTTTGATTGAAAGCGTCATCCAACTCAGTAGAAACGCCTGACTCTACCTTCCATTTCCATGTGGCCTGGGTCATCATTTCCTAAAATCCAATGCAAATTTTCTGGTGACCAGGTGATTACTTACAATCGGTGACCAGTTGCAGTTCACAACGAATCAATTAAATTATGGAGCAAGCAGATTTGCCATATCGGTTGCACATTGCTAACATAAGAATTTCAAGGCGCATCGTGGTAACGCTCCTTACCAGTTAGTGCAAAGCGGTATGCCGTTACGTTCCGATAAAAACGTGAATCGCTGAACAGTTTATTCCAGTGAGTTCGGCAATGTGCATTGTCAAGTCCGTTTAATGGTCAGTTACAATTCTGTTCGTGTGAGCTTAAATGCTGGAAAGTTTCCAGACATTTTAAAACAATTTTTTTTAACTTTTTCACTATTCAGTAGATTGCTGAGTTTAGTGGTCAAGCCATGATTTTGATTTTTCGATTTATTGCGATGTTTTTTGTCCACATTCCACACGGTGTTCGATTAAGTTCTAGAGTAGTCTTGCAGGTGTGTTTTCTGATATACCGCAACTAGTTGCTGGAACTTTACAGAGTTATGTATGTACTATGCACAGATACATTTTGATGCTTTACCGCTAAGGGAATCCTGCTTGTTATGGTTCTCCAGAAGAACGCGGTGATGGACATTCCGGGATTAGGTTCGAAATCTGTCGCAGACCTTGTGCTCATATTTACGGGAAATGCCTCACAACCGGACGACGAAGTGTCGATGCAACAAGAGTAAGTCATTTGAGGCTTTGCCAAAGTTGCTGTGCAAAATCTGTAGCAATCCATGTTCCGTAGTCAGTATTCTGTAGTTTGCCCACTGGGGCAGTCGATCGATACTTGTTTCATAGGCTTCCTGATTTGCTGTAGATTTCTGAAACATAATGGTTTGGACCTTTACGATATGCTCGCGCCCCGCCTACCAATCGGCAGAGCGGTGTATCCACAAGCACTGCGCGCACGAATGACGCCTGTCAGCTGGGATATCAATGTGGTGCTGAATCGCCGCGGACGAATGCTGCTTATGCACGCCGTGGAAGACATTCCGCTTTTTAATGGGCTTCAAGATGTAAGTCCCGCCTACTTTTCCGTGAAGTCTCTGTTATGTGTTGCTTGGTGCACATAATTGTTTCTACAGAATTGTCCACGATTTCGAACAACAAAAATTGTCCATGCCACAGCAAATTTTGTATTTTTTCCTACAATTTTACACATACAATTTTGTCGCCCTGCGAAGTCCCTACCGTTGCCGTCTTGTAGTTCCAAAGCGTAAAACAGTCACCTACTAGTATGTGTGGGCCAGTGTGGCGAGTGCCGAACAAAACAAAGCTTAGAAATATCCGCAATATTATTAATCAAATGTTCAGAAAAGCTGCTGGAAATATACTAAAAGCGGGTGGCGAAAATGATAATATATTGTAGCTGCTAGACGAACTTGAAGAATTTGCAAACTTTGCATCCGGCCGCTGCATTCCCCGGTCGGACATCGCACGAGCAGCGTGTGTAACGTTTCCTTTCACTAGACTCTGTGGTGCAAGATCGTCTAACGGCTATAGTATATATGCTTTTCGTAGCAATCATACGAAAGTTGTGAGAGTTTGCTATGAAATTATGCTGAATAACGGAAAGGAAAGATTAGCAGACTTAGGTGTTAACTGTTACTTGTTAGTATGCCATCAGCTTTAACAACTTAATGAAAGATTACAAAATATGCTGCTATCCGGTTTGTTTCTACATGCAAAACCCGAGTTTTTTTAGTTTATTATGAACTTTCTTTCAGTTGCGGTTTAACGACATGGGAGATCCATTCCGCTTGACCCGAGTGGAGCGGCGCGCGGAATTTGAGAGGCGCTACGGACATCCGTGCAGTTGCCGCAAATGCACCGAAGCATATGTGCGGTACCCAACAAACTTAAGGGAATACCCCAAACTTGTAATACCCAACCTTCATCGAAATGTTTAGGATGCCGACATCAATCCGTTAAAGTGTGTGACGGCCGGATGCACCAATCGCATTCCCAGCGATCACCGAGCACTGGAAGCATGCTCGGAATGCGGTGCACTCAACAGCGAACGATTGACGCACCTCCGCGGTTTCATGCAGCGGTACGGGACAGTTAAGAGCAGCTGCTCGACGGAGTACCACGCGGTCCTCATCATGCAGCTCTACAAGGAGATTGCCGACATCCTGCAGCCGGATGCGCACTTCCTATTCATCTGCGGCTGGGAATTAGCGCAGAATTACTACACTGATAATCGCTTTGAAGAAGGCTGGAAGATGATGCAGGGATTTGTTACGTGTGCTCGGTAAAAATTGGAAAATTCAGACTTTTATTATGGATTACGTGTGATTTGATTCGATGATGTGGTCAATAGTTTGACGAATCAACTTCTGTTCTAAATCGTAAATATAATATTATTTAAATTCGTCTTCAGGAAAGTTTGTCCAAAGTATGCCGACTTTCGCGCTACTTTGCTGATTTCCGCTGGACTGTCTACCGCCGAAGCGCTGGAAAGGCGAGTTCTGAATGGTGTTCGTCGCGTATCGGGACCGACTAAACAGGAGCTGGAAGTACTGGCTGATGACGTTTGCCGTTACGTTCTCGATTATGGTAACGAAGCGAAGGAAACTTTTGCTGTGTTATTCGGCAAAGAGTCGAAAGAAGCCCAGGAAAACGATACTGCGATCGAGAAAATAGCTTCAACGGTACGGCGCATTAAGGAACTTCTCGCGGCTGCAATTAACTAGGTTAAGGACTTGTGGTCCTTTGGCTAAATGTGCTTAATACTGACGTGAGTCGATTAAATCCATTCTGGCGTTAGTATGGAGCTCAATTTGAACAAACGGCTGATGGCGAAACTAAAACTGATGTTCAGTTCTTTTACGCTATCATCCTTTAATAAGAAGCTTTCCGGTAACCTGGCTCTCAGTTTCTCATACGTGAAGAAAGTAGGATCGTTGCGATTTACGAAGATGCCGCCGTGGCTTCACTAAATAGCCGTTTTTACGGTACTAATAACAACAAGAACAGAACAATGGTACTAACAGCAATGGCGTCTTTATTGCGTTCATCAGTTATAACCTCGTTAAGCTTCGTTCATTTTGGCCATTCGTCAGCTGTATTACGTGATGGCGATTAATAAAATAAATGTAAGCGTATGAAAGATTTTTGAACGGCAACAACTTTTGCATTTTAGCATGAACATGAAGTATACATGAAGCTTTTTACCAAGCAATAAACAACCTTAGAAATTTGGTGTTATTAGACAAATACCAAACTAGCACATCAAATCTGACTTATCTAAGTAGATCCACCATACGAGTACTGTACTGGGTTTCATTTGCATTATCTACACTAGAAATCGGCCGTTTTAGCTACGGTAATACATTATAATGATGGGGAGAAACATCAGCTGCTTTGTGTAACGGATGTGCGTCGGGTAGCGGGCTAAAAAATGTAAAAACCTCCGATGAGTCAGCGAAACAATTTTCATAAAATTTCTTATGCGACTTTGAGCAAGTGCCAGGAAAGAAACTTCAAGTCAAAGTGAAACTAAACAAGTCAAGTCTACTGCATGAATGTGGGTTTAGATAGTTAATGTGTTATCGTTACAAAAAAATATGTTTTCAGTTTTGATTTGTTGCATGTGCATGTGTCTTACAAACAAAATTTTTGTTGATCTGTGCATTAGCGCTGTTTGGGTAATGGCTGCGCTCCGACGTCAAAGCGCAGCGCATACACGGACAGGGTCACAGGTAAGCTGAGAACCATATCCCAAATTCTTGGTTAACCGGTTAAACTACAATTATCTACCTGTTTACGCATCGCTACGCCGCGATTTTCGCGCGACTGCCACTTGCCGCGTAAAGCTTACACGGAGCAACTGACCTCTCCCAGTGTATGAAAAGGTCGCAAAGGCATCAATAAGCGCAGTTGTTGCGTTTGCTAAATAAAAGCGTAGGAACAAGCAAACCAACCAACACGGACCGCAAGAGGTACCGTGCCCAAGTTGCCGGTGCTTTGAATATTGTTCCATTTTTTTATCTAAAAGCACTGCAAAAAGCGGGTAAACTTATTGGAAATATTGTATGAAACACTCAGAACAGCCCAAAAAGTACTGTATTAGTGATGAAATCACAATCACGAAGGTTCACTGCTGTGTAAAGGACACCGACGAAATGGTCTGCAATCATTCGGTGAATCCAGGCCCAAAACCTTTGCCTTCCGGAAATACCGCAACTCTTCCTCGTCGAGTACAACGTTCCCTTTTCGTCCATTTTATCTAGTCTCCATTCAAACGGCTCCATTTCCGGTGGCTGAACGTGGAGTTTTAAATATCTGCTTTCCATCAAATTGCGAGTCAACAGACATTGCTGTCCGCGTGTGCTGTGATCGCTTCTCAGCTGCTGCACCGCTATCCAGTACGCGTTCTGATCCCTTGGCTTTTGATACCGTGGTCATAAAACTTGGATTGTAGAAGATCTGATCCGGAATTACTTTACAAAGGAACCGCTGTGAATATAAATGCTGTGAACCGCTGTGAATACAAATGCTTTAGGAAAGAATGCATTGATACCAAGTTACCAACAAATCATGGACCTTAATGGATTATGCTAGCGAACCGAAGGAGATATCTACATTTGTTGTCTTGTTCGGTGAGCAGTCGAAGGAAGTCCGGACAATAAATCATGCCGCAGTTTGCCGCACCGAGCGTCTTTTTTGAAGCCATAAAGAACCGATCCCGAGCTTCCTGCTGTTAAGGTGTTCCATCGGTACTGTGTCCGTACTAATTTATAATGATACAATAATAATTATGTTGCTGTTTTGCTAAATCCAACCTAGCGCAGATGTTTTTTCGCGCTTTGTATGCTTTGTAAAAGCAGTTAGTTGTTCTTTATCATAAATTAGAACTGTTAAGTTTTTTGTTGCTCTACTGAATAAATAGCTGCCGGTTGCACACTGTAAAGCCAGTAACGGCACAGCGCCACGTACAGTAATAAAAAGACGAATGCAGCAAATCTATCTCATGGTCAGATAGATTGTTAAAAATTACTGGTAGAAAAAATCACCACGGCAATAGTATGCCTATTGTCAGTGCATCACAAGTTCACAACAGACGCCACCAATTTTTTGAGGCGTACCTACAGAGTACTCACGAATCTGCAATCGCTTTTCAAAAAAAATTTCACCGAAAAAAGTTACGGAAAACTCGACTTGTTACCGGTTTTTTGTATCTCAAAAACTACGCGGTAGTACTTACGCATGGTGCCGTGGTAGTGGTTATTTGCTAGACAACTATAACTGGCAGTCTGGCTCTCAACAAGCAGGGTGGTGCGTTCTTATGGCGTTTGCCCACTCGCAGCACTCACGCACACGTTGCACGTTCGCATTAAGCCATTAACTGATTAACAACTTGACATGCGGCATCAATATTATTGAAAGAATCAAGAATGTATGCCATCTGATTGTTCTTCCTTTTTTCCTTTGTGGGCAGATTCCGGATTCGTGACATCACGTTCCACTTTTCCCTGCGACTATGGTGTACCGATTGCGCAAAGGTTTTACAAACAAATGCTAAATGACAAATGCTTTTTAGTTTTCAATCAAATGTTACTGACAAATGTTTTTTGCTACCAGACAGATGTTTTTAAAAAATTTTTAACAGACAAATGTTTCGGACAAATATTTTTTACTTTCAGACAAATGTTTTTAAAAAAATTTTACAGACAAATGTTACTGGCAAATGTCAGAAACATTCAGACAAATGTTACTGACAAATGCCAGAAACTTTCAGACAAATGTTTCTGACAAATGTCTTGATGTAATTGTAAGTGCCATCTCGTGCACCGGAGGCGCGAACTACGGACGCTGACATTTTTAGCAATTTTTAAAATTCCAATTCCACCCGTCCAATTACAGTGAAATTACTGGATCTCCGTATTTCGCTGGAAGTCCTTGTTAGTGCTGGAATCTTGCTTTTGACGGTAATGGATTGTTTTGGTTTTTTACCGTTGGAACGCTGGCTCCTTAGCTTCTTTCAAAAATTTTCTTTATTTTTTCCTTTGTTTCCTTCTATCGTCTCTCTCAATGTGAAGCTAACGGGATTTCAATGGATCAGTTCTATGAATTTGCGTACTCAGTTGTAAGACGTGCTGCGCGATTCCTGACAGCTCCGAATGGGGATCACGATCAGGATGGCGTTGACGGTGCGCTAACGCAGATCGATTATTTACTTGGGTAGGAAGCGATTGGAAAAGAAACTGTTGGCGGGATATTCTTGTTATTTTATAATTGTCCATTTTTAACAGATACACGCGAAACATTTGCGAAAATTATCCGGAAGAACAGACGGTGCAAGCTCAAGAGTTATTCGATGTGTTGGTACACTGTGCTAACGATTTACGGGGGTTACTTCAAGAAGATGAGGATGGAACGAGGTCTGTTTTTTCGATCAATTTGGACACTAATTCGTACGGGAAAATATCGATCCCAGAGGATGATTTGGCTCATCTACGACTGGAAGGATTCACTGTTAACGATATTGCTGGGTTTTATGGAGTATCGCGTAGGACACTTACTTACAGATTGGCAGCAGCTAACCTGAATCAAAAAGTAAGCCCTTTTGTTATCATGCATAGCTGAAACAGTTCCAGTTTTTATTCTTAATTTCTGAAAATATTAGACTCATACAGCTCGTTTGCGGTAAAAATATTTCTATGCCGCACTATTATGTGACCAGATTTATTTGCTGCATTTGTTATGTTATTTTGAACGGCAATGAAACGTGGTAAATGTTTCCAGTTTTTAGGCACTCGTACTTCTATAATTGAACTGATTTATTGAAACGCTCAGCGGATGAAAGTTATAGCTGTATTCAGTTCTTAATAACTGAATTTGCTTGCTTTAAAGTTTGTAGACATTACGGATACTGATTTGGATTTGGTGATTGCGGATATTTTGAATTCATTCCCGAATGTCGGTTGTCGCTACGTTCACGGCCAGCTGAAAACGGGCGGATTGATGGTGCAACGCAGACGAATTCTGGCTTCTTTGAAACGACTTGATCCATACGGAGTAGCCAACCGATTTTTTCATTTTGTTCCGCGACGCGTGTACTCCAATGCTGGACCGAATGCTTTGTGGCACATTGATGGGAATCATAAGTTAGTGCGATGGGGATTCGTCATTCATGGTATTGTCGACGGATATTCGCGATCGGTTATTTCGCTTGTCGTTGCCACTAACAATCGCGCTAGCACGGTGCTGCAAGCATTCTTGGCTGGCGCTGAAGCGTGGGGTGTACCGTCCTGAGTGAGAAGCGATTGTGGTGGTGAGTGAAAAGTGCTACAGATACCTCTTTCTCTACAATATCAGGGTATACGTCTTTACTGTCTATATTATGTAGGAATTTTTTAGATAAATGTGCATCGAAAAGGTGATAAATGTGCATCTGTTAAACAAAAATCGAGTACAGTTTTTCGAGTAAAGTTTTTCAAGAGCAACGAATATTATTATCTTAGTATGGCGACGCTGAAAATCGGAATACTATACAATGGTCATCGTACAAGTGCCGTAGTTACGTCATTGTTATTTTGTTTTTTTTAGGTATTTTGCGAGACAGTTGCCTGTTTTTTTAGGTATTCTGCGAGACAGTTGCCTAACTTGTGGTTAACACGCTTTTTTTATTGTTGAATTTAGGGGAAAATTTTGGAGTAGCACGTTGGATGGAGCATTACATGGGAGAAAATCGCGCAAGTATCATTATGGGACCGTCGGTTCATAATCAGCGGATAGAACGGCTGTGGAGGGATTTAGGCCGCGTTGTGATTAAGCTGTTCCGAGCCGTTAATTAGTGGCGACGGAGTGTTGCGTGACAGGGTCCTGCTTCTCCGCACTGTCATCACCGGGCCCCAGACCGGCCTGGCGTGCCTCCTTCCGACTGAGCAGCTGCATTTTGGGCGGCAGTGGCGAAAGAAACGAAATCTTTTCGATCCATTTGCGCATTCTCTGCTCGTCATCCGCTGCAAATAAATATTCGGATCCATCGCACAAATGCAGACGGAAGAGTGGAAGACAAAGTCTTTCTTTTAATCATATGCCTCAAAGATACGCATAATGTATCAGCAATACTGCCTTTTGGGAAAATGTCACGATAGAAACCCACCTGACCGATTATGCATTCGTATAGAGATTAAGCGGCGGCAACGCTGCGTTGCGATCGTAAGACAGCTGCTTTTTCCTGAAGAAACACAGCAGCTGTCTGCATAACATGGTGTGGAAGGTCTTCCTCGATCGGGATGATGACTTATGACCACCTGACTCCAGTTCCTGCTTCCGATTTAACATACCTTCCATATCAAGCGCTGCAGTAAAAAAAGGTGCATGAGATTTTACGCAAATAAACGCTTCCCGACTAATACCTGAAAGAACCCAGTTTAAAAAACTGATCGATTCGCATAGTACCATAGAAAATAAATTCGTAAATAAATAAATTTGACTTGTACTTTCTATGATAGTACTGTAACTCACCATCAGCAACTGGCCGAAGTTATCGTTACACGCTTTACAGCATGACTCAGCATTTTGGTGAGTCGAACGTGCTGAACGCAACCACACAGTCCACACTCCGATTTGCGTGGTACGCTTCTGATATTTGTCAAAAGCATCTGTCAAAAAGTTTCTGACATCTGTCAGAAACATTTGTCTGTAAAATTTTTTAAAAAACATTAGTCTGAGTCTCTGAGAGTAAAAACATTTGTCAGAAACATTTGTCTGACAAATGTTTAAAAAAAAACATTTGTCCGGTAGCAAAAAACATTTGTCAGTAACATTTGAGCGAAAACTAAAAAGCATTTGTCGTTTAGCATTTGTTTGTAAAACCTTTGCGCAATCGGTACACCATATGCGACTGCGGATTGTATGTTGTATGCACTCACTACTCACAAGTCAGTCATCAGTCAACTCAGTCTCGTCTCGGGCCCGCAGGTTTACGAGAGCGCAAAATTTAAGTTTGTTTCCATCTATTTTCGCCTACTACTGCATTAAGGGAGAATGGAGACCCAAAAGGCTCTGCCGAGCAGTAACATCCGTTCCTTTGCTCCCGGTGACGTTGTAATTTCCTGTAATCCACTGGTGTGGGTCCTGGAGCGCAGCGTCTACAAAACATGCTGTGCCTACTGCTTTAATGACAGCAAGGATTTGCGCAAATGCTCGGGATGTCAACTGCATCACTACTGTAATACAGTGTGCCAGGTACAATGGAAGCCAAAATTCTCTTACATTCGGTCCGGGACCGAATGACCAATAAAAATAAATGGCCAGGACCAAATGACCACTAAACAGAAAGGCGCAAGAATACGAACACTTGTTCCTGGCGTATTTCCCAACGAAAACCATCAAGCGATATCTCAAACGAAAGACAAAAAAATTTCAAGAATTTTGATACCAAACGGGTCATCCTTCATGAGATCTAAGAGAAAATCGAGCCATTTTAGTTTGTCGTTGACAAAGCACACGATTTTTGTGTGAAAACTGAAACCAAACCGCAGATGCAAAATACAAATCCTATGCTATGTCTACGAGAAACTTTGGATGCCTGGATTATCTCTTAGATCTTATAAAGAACACCTTGTTTGGTATCAAAATTCTTGAAATTTTTTCCTCATTCGTTTGAGATATTGGTCGATGGTTTTCGTTGGGAAATGCGCAAGGTGCAAGTGTAAATATAAGCAGGCCGATGGCCAGTCAAAAATTTGGATGTCTGAGTACAGAATACTGCTTGGTTGCGCGAGTTTTGTGATTACATAAGTGTAAGACAATTTTGGCGTCCATTGTATGATAAGAAAAGCGGTATAAACTAAGACAACGAAGTCTGACAGCCTTTATAAGGATATAGGCTTTATATAGCACTGGGTTCGTGATTCGTACCCTTAAATTAGATTGTTATTATTGGTCTTGGAGACGTATCCAGGAAGCAGGATTAGCATAAGGTCTTCAGCAAAGAACGAGAAGATCTCAAGGGCTGCCACCTTTCGTCCATATTTGCTACGGAGAATTTATTCTGAATCTCACAAGAGGCTGGAACACCCCGGCTGGTGGCTATTGCCCCTTAATCTAAAATCTGTAAATTTAGACTGAGGCTGAAGCGAATTCCAGAGTCCCGACAAACCCAAAATTGCCGAACACCGAACTCTTTTAAACGCCCCTCCTGAAGCAGCCCAGTGCAGCGTTGACTGTAGTTGGGCCCAAATAGTTCGTATTAGGCTATTAACCATTTGTAGAAAATGGGGCAGCAAGATAAGAGAAGGAAGGCATTGCCATTGTCCGCATATGTAGCGCCACTGAAATGCTATTAATTATATTTTATGTAGATGGCTTATTACAGGGCGCGGACTGGAAAATGGAGCACAAACTGGAATGCGCCATGCTGAAGCAGATCGGTAAACTCGAGAGCAAGGATACGGAACGAACGATCTTTCCAGAGCCAGACGGATTTATGGGTGTATCATCTAATGGGTTCCCCGTGTCTACTGTTACCTTCAGTGACATGATTGTCAAGCTGAACTGTAAAATTCAGGTTAGACCAGTAGGAGCAAATTAGTATGATCTGCAGCTTTCGTACTTAAATCGTATCATATTTTCAAAACCTTTCGCATGTTTTTCTGTCTGCTCGTACCCGAAGTGAATTTGCACTCGTACTACTTGTACGACACACAGCTGTGGAAACGGTTTGAAGCGTAACATTAGATAACTCCGTGTTGTGAATCTTGTGATACGAGAAACGAATATGCATTTGTTTATTTTGATGTGCTTCTTTTTGGACTATCAGCGATAATGTCGGTGTTTGTTTACCAAGTTCCTGAAACTGTAAAATGAATTTCAAAACTGTCAAATTTTATTTAAAAAAAAACTTCCCTAATTCGCCGACCATCGTTACTGTACTGTGTTTTCGGTGTTACGAAGTTTATTATTTAAGCTGAAAACAGAAGCCGACTTGCTAAGCTTCAGTCTGTATTCCCTTAATTTTATTAATGTGGTAATAAATTTCCGCTGTTTATCTTTATAAGGAGAAATGTTCAATATTGTTGCGTTTGTTTGCCGAAATTGTATTGTTTTTCTTTCCAGATGAACCCGATGATCGATATTCCCGGAATGGGTTCAAAGTCGGCCGAAGAACTTCTGCTCATGCTGCCGACAAATCCCGCCCAACAGGATGTCGATCACTTGATGCAGGCGGAGTAAGTCCGTTTTCATATTTTGTATGCAAATTACTTCTGAAACACACGTGTCAACAGAAAGTCCACCTTACAAGCGGAAAATTCCTATTACTATGGCGTTATCAGTTATAACGCATGGCCCCTTTACGATTCACTGACCAGGGCCGCCGTTCCCCCGATTGGTTACGCATTGTATCCACTAGTGCCGCGCCGCCAGATGACGCCGGTGTGCTGGGATGTCAATGTGGTGGTCAATCGCCGCGGAAGACAGTTGCTGATACATGCCGTGGAACATATCCCGCAGTATGTCGGACTAAAGAATGTAAGCCTTATACTGTCGTAGTTACCATCGCTGCATGCAACTCGTTCGACGGAATGTTACCAGACTTGCCGGCGCTGTGTTTATTGCTATGTATTGTACTAGCTTGTCCATACCAAAAAGTATGGACAAGCTCAATATGGTATAATTATGGTAGGATGGTAATCAAGCACAGAAATAAGAAGACAGAGTGCAAGTAGGCAAAATAAGCAGCGAAATAATTAGGCGAATACAGAATGGGATGGCATCTTTAGTGCCACTGCCATGGCCACTGGCCACTCCTCGGTAGCGTTGGGAAGTGTGGATTGTGCCAAGGCGTTCAAATATTGTATATATACACCATCTTTCCCAACTGGGTCAGTCGGACTGGCCTTTACGTACGTTTTTTACCCACGGGTTATTACCATACATAATTCTGTAGATGTAGCGGTGGTATAACTATGATGTACACCTCATAAACTTTGGGATTTGTACTTTGAAATTATTGTACTGGGTGTGGTTGTATGCGCGCTGTACAGACTACCTTGAAGTACTACCGTTGCATACTGATTTTAATAATTCTAAATGGATCGTATCTGAATGCACAGCGACCTTTTGTCTAATAGGTGGGCTACATAAAAGCTCCTTGTTTTCTATTTGGAGTGAACACTTTCCAAATGAAGTGTACAGGATAGATGCTAATGCAAAGGACGATGTACCATGTAGGATAACGCATACTAATTTCTCTTGTCTTGGTGCTTGCAGTTGCGATACAGCGAAGTACTTGAGCCATCTCGCCGCACGAGAGCGGAACGACGCTTGGAATTTGAAAAACATCACGGTTTCAAGTGTATTTGCCACAGATGCACGGAAGAATATGTACGTGTTGTTTACCTACTCTTTAACCACATTTTTTAACGGTATTCCACACCTGTGGTCTTTCTTAGGATGCTGATATTAACCCGTTACAATGTGTGACCACCGGATGCACCAATCGAATTCCCAGCGACAGTCGAGCACTAGCAGGCTGTTCGGAATGCGGTGCTCTCAACAGTGAGCGGCTGATGCAATTCCGTCGTTTTGTGCAGCAGTACGAGAGCATTAAGACGCGTTGCAAGGGGATCACTGCATGACGGTCGCCACGGATATCTGCCGACAGATGGACGTTGCCGGTATTCTGCAGCCGGATGCGCATTTCCGTTATGTCTGCGGCTGGATGTTGCCGAACAAGTACTTCACGGAGAACCGCTTAGAAGATGGCTGGAAGATGACAGAAGAGCTGACCGCCTGTATTAGGTGAGCTTTCTGGCTTTCTCTTTCGTATTAAATATTAACAGGCTATTAATAGTACTAAAATAATTATGTAGTTGGTACATCCTGTTTGAAAATTTTTGACTTAAAGCAAAAACAGGGGCTGCTTTTAACTGGTTTATGCACAGACTTACAGAGATGGAGAATGCTTCGGCTATGTCCTTCCATTTAGGTTTAAAATCGTTTCCAAGGCGGTCCGAATAATTATCACGAAAGAAAACAGCGAAAAATTAAATTCTTGCGACTTAGGCAAATTTCAAACTACGGCGCGCCACACCACAATATTGTACGAGTTACATGCTGTTGGCATGGCTGATGCATGTCAGATATCTGTATTTAGGAACATTCGTATTAACGATTCACAGTAACCTTAATCTCCTGGTGGAAGGTGATTAGGCGAAAGTCGGCGCACAGCGCTGGCAGTCTCACTGCTGGGAGTTTCCCATTGCAACAACTGTAGTGTGGCCATCGTTCTAAGCGATAACAGTACGCACTACCTGTACCTTTACGTTCTGA